ACCATATCTTACTTTCCATTCTCCTCTAGATGGACATTTAGTTTCCTGCCTTTGGTTATTACAAACAGTGCTGCTGTGAACATGATTGCACATGCTTCTTTTAGGGCTTTCATAGCAGCATGATTCATAATAGCCAAAAAGTGTGAACAACCCAAATGTCCATCACCTGATGAATGTGGATAAATAAAATGTGGTGTATCCATATAATGGAATATTATTCGGCCATAAAAAGGAATGAAGTACTGATACATCCTACAACTTGGATGAGCCTTGAAAACATTACGCTAAGGGAAAGAAGTCAGTCATAGAAGACCACATATTGTGTCATTCCATTTATATGAAATGTCCAGAATAGGCATATTCATAGAGACAGAAAGTAGATTAGTGGTTTCCAGAGTCTGGGGGAAAGATATAATGGTGAGTAACTACTGATGGGTTTGGGTTTTGGGGGGAAGTGATTAAAATATTCTAAATTTAGATTGTGGTGAGATTGCACAACGCTGTGAATATACTAAAACCACTGAATTATACACTTTAGAATGGTGAACTTACGGCAGTTCACCAATTATATCTCACTACAGAAGTTACAAATAATTTCTAGGACAGTGTTTTTCAAACCCAACCCACTAGTAGGTTATAAACAAATTTAGAGGGTCAGTAATAGACTTTGTAAAAAAAAAAAAAAAAAGAGTGGGGAGCTTATATAGCTAATTTGAATATATAAATTTATGAAACATTTAAGTGAAAGCTCATAAGTAACATATTCTTTATGGTGACTATGAGTATATAGTATTGCCCACAAAAGACTCAGTAAATTTTTGTTTGATAACTTAGGTTTTGCTATTTATTTGGGTGATTAGTGATTGGGGTGAAGGATGGTTAGGAATGAGGATTATACCAGAAATGGAATCTGAGTTGAAAGGATCCTTGGAAATAAGAGGAAACTCTTAGACTAATTAGGCTTTTATTATCTCTCTGTTCACACTCTGGAGTTTCTGTGTCAAGTCTAGCTTGGAAATATAAGAAGAGCAAAACTGTTAAGCTTTTGTGCTGCCGTCTGCCTTCCTCCCAGACTTGCCTTGGCTCCATTCCGTACCCTAGCCATGTATATTCCTATTTCTAACAAAACTGGTGTTTTGATCAGATTATAAATTATTTGACTTCTTGAAAGCATACTGCTTATTAAAATTCGATCTGTTGTCCATTTCAGTTTATATTAGAGGTTTTGTAGATATACTGTGTTAAATTTGATGTGCTTTGCAAAGAGCTTTAAAGTGCTGACATAATTTTTTCTTCTGAACATGAATAGCAAATACTTGAAACATGAAATAGGTATGAAGAGTTTAAAAGCAAAGACTGAAACTATTTGAGAACTCTCCTTTTTTGTTCTAGGAAGAATGGTTTTTAGTTCCTCATGTTAATAAGCTGAAATTTCTTTCTGTAGCATTTCTTCAGATTTTTTTTTCTCCCGAGGAAGATTCACCCTGAGCTAACATCCGTGCCAGTCTTCCTCTATTTTTTAGTATGTGGGTTACCACCACAACATGGCCGCTAACAGAGTGGTGTAGGTGGGTGCCTGGGAGCCTAACCCAGGCCGCCGAAGCGAAGCGTGTTGAACTTCACTAGACCCCCAGGGTTGGCCCTCAGATTTTTTATACTACTTTCTTTTAACATCTATCAATCAAAGTTACAGTGATTTTGAATTCTTTAATCATTTCATCATCTTATCATCCTCATTATCTAATAGTAACTATCTCTGTTTCCTCAAAATTGCTCTTTTCTTTTTGTTTTTGGTTTTTGTCTTTTCCTGACAGAGGCTTTTTTTCAATTGTCTGATGTTCCTTGATAGACATCAAACATGGGCAGTTTGAGAAAGCCAAGACAGTGCAAGGATGAAAAGAAAACTTAAAATTATAAATTGTATCCTTAAGATAAAAGAAGACAGTACATCATTGAAACAATGCAGGAGTCTGTAAAAAAGGAATGTTCAAGAGCAAAAAAAAAGTGTGGGAAATTAAAAATAAGGTAGAAATTGAAAAGACAACACAAGTTAGGAAGATAAATTTAAAAAAAGTAAAGCTATAGAAAACAAGAGAAAATATAAGAAAATTAATGAAGTTAGGTCAGAGGGTCCAGTATATGAAGAAAATAGTTCCAGAGAGAGTAGACAAAATGAAGGAGATTTACTTTTCAGTGATAAAATTTTCTCAGAACTGAATGAATCTCTATTTTGCAAGTACAAAGAAAGTACTTAGCGAGATGTATTTTTATTTCTTTCTTTCTTTTTTTTTTGTGAGGAAGATCAGCCCTGAGCTAACATCCAATGCCAATCCTCCTCTTTTTTGCTGAGGAAGACTGGCCCTGGGCTAACATGCATGCCCATCTTCCTCTACTTTACATGGGACGCCACCACACCATTGCTCAACAAGCAGTGCGTTGGTGCTCGCCCGGGATCCGAACCTGCGGACCTTTGAACCCAGGGCCACCGCAGCAGAGCACACACACTTAACTGCTGCGCCACCAGGCCGGCTCCGTGAGATGTATTTTTGAAAAGCCGTTCAGGAAATTTCAGAACATGGGGATTAAAGAGAAGATCCAAAAAAAAAAGAAAGAAAACAAAACCACCTTCCAGGGAGAAAAACAAGCCCTATTTCAAGGCTCAGAAATCAAAAGGCGTTGATTGGACTTGTCGACAGCACTACTGAAAGTTAGAAGGCAACAGAGCGATGAAAATGAAGGCATAAATCAAGAGAGAAGAAGACTATGGGATTCAGGAGACAAGAATTCCAACACAGAAAGAGATGATTGAGCACTTAAGGCATTATGTATATATTTAAAATTAATACTTAAATATAAATTAAGTATATTTTTTAAATCAGATTTAAAAGTTAAAAAGTAGGATTTTTTTTTTCCTTAGATAATCTATTTCTCTATTGATTTAGAATAAGAAGAGATTTTCTTCTGTACTAATACATGTCACAGTGGAGACTTGTATTTCACATTGTGACTTGCAATTTATAATTCATCTTGAATCCTTTAACTGTGAATGATACTTAATAATGTTCACTTTTATAACTAAACACAACTCTTTGCCAATATACTTCCAAAAATGTTTCAAATCTTTAAAAAATAAATGTTTTTAACATTACTACTCCCATGATATTTGTGGAATTCTAATATTCCAGCATTTTCATGCCTGGTTTTCACTACTTATATTTCACTGCTTTTCAGAAATTTCACAATTGTAGTTCTTACAATCAAATTATAATTTTAACTGAAAAAGGCAACAAGTTTGAAATCAGAGAATCTGTTTTAGAAATCCATCTTAATTTTAAATTTGGGAATATTCATTCAGACTCGTTATTTCCATTTAGGAAAGTGGGCCAAGTAGTTCCTTATTGAATAAATAAGACATATCTTTCAGACATGTTTTCACTAAGAATGAGCACATTTAATCATGCAGTTTTATAACTGCTTTCATATTCCCTACAGGACAAAAATGTACCAAGAATTGAGGCAAGTTGGAATGGCCACCAAAAATCTAAATCTGAATCATTAGTCATGCTTGCCAAGGTATTTCTTTGTCTCAATAGCCCATGTAACTGGTTTCGCTATTAAAATTTTTCTATTAAATTGAATCTTTTGGAAAAACAATCTGATGAAACAGATTGATGAAAAAAGATAAATAAAATATTGAAAAATGGGATTAAAATTCCTTTTCCTACAACTGCTGAAAGGAGTGCTGTGTACCCTGCTTCCTTTGCTTCAAGTTTTATAAAGCAGGCAGCTAATAAGAGTCAGAACCTGAATGCAAATCCAAGTCTTTCTGCCTCCTGAACTTCTCAGAGCACAAAAATTTTGATATAACTAATTGATGGCATGTGGAGAAAGGAATCAATAAAAAACTTTTAATGCATTATAAAATGAGATATCATTTTAACTATCAAATAAGCTAAGTTTTCTGACCTTGGTAATACTTAAATACTGGAAGCCCATATGTGGCTGGAGATGTGACTCTCTTAGTACAACCTTTTTTTTTTTTATAATTTTATTTATTTATTTTTCCCCCAAAGCCCCAGTAGATAGTTGTATGTCATAGCTGCACATCCTTCTAGTTGCTGCATGTGGGACGCGGCCTCAGCATGGCCGGAGAAGTGGTGCGTCGGTGCGCGCCAGGGATCCGAACCCGAGCCACCAGCAGCGGAGCGCACGCACTTAACCGCTAAGCCACGGGGCCAGCCTTCTTAGTACAACCTTTTAGAAGACTCATACTACATAATAATCCTAATAACTGTTCATGGCCACAGACTGGAAGGAAATAATGTTAATTTGTGCAGAGTAGAGGTATTTTAAAACAGCATAATTATTTTCCCAATTTTCTACATTTAACATGTTATTTTTATAAATAGGGAGAATGTTTCTATCCTTACCTGGTAGTTTAGGGAAATAATTCTAAATACAGAATAAAGGTTATCCAAAAATACTCAACAGTTTTATTTTTAATAGTGAAAAATTAGAAACAAGTTAAATGTCTAGCCGTGCAGAATGTGCCAAAGTAAAAGGTAATACTTCTAAGGGAAACATGTAAGATTGAAGAGATTGCATAGGAATAAGGAAAAAAGTTTACAATATACTAGGAAAAGCAGGATACAACTTTGTTTATATAGTATATGATTACAGATATATATTTTTATAAGAATACTGGGAGAAAATCTAATCGTTTTATCAGCAATTATGTTTGGATATTGAGATTCAAGTAATTGCTTCTCTTTGTACTTTTATATATTTTCCAGATTTTATTTAATCATGTACTGACTTTTTAAAAAGTAGTATTTTCCTAACATGAGGTAAAGTGATAGCTAATTTTTTCCTAGGCTGCCACTAGATAATATTTTGTTCATATTATCTGTTAAGTGGGGAGACATTTTGATAATGATGTTTTCTTAAAGTCTTATTTTCTTCTGTCCATATGAAATGAACATGTTTGTATTATTTCTTAGATCTGAAGCTCAGCACCGAGGCTCTGCGCCACACTCTGAGAGTGATCTACCAGAACAAGAAGAGGAGATTCTGGGATCTGATGATGATGAGCAGGAAGATCCCAATGATTATTGTAAAGGTAAGGCTTTCTAAGGAGATGCTAAGTGAGACGTGTTCCATGTATATGCAGTTTCTCATTTGAATGCTTGGTCTATCAGTGTAAAGAGTTTTGATCCATTGTTTATTGCATCCTTTTCTGTAAGTATAGGAAATAGTATTTCCTCTTAGTTTGACTTAATTTATTAAAGCTTAGTTTTATTAAATATGTTTTTACCCCCTTTTCTCCTTAAAAATGACAGTGCATGTTAACCTTAGAAAATTTCAGAAATATGTTAAACAAAAAGAAAATAAAAGCCATCTGTAATGCTATCACCCAGAAGCAACCAATGATAAGATTTGGTATGTAGACTTTTGAAAAACACCTTTTCATTACGTTTTTCTCATAGTGATGATTGCTAAGATAAGTAAAACTGAAATTACAGATATTTATAGATACTCTTCTTTTTCTCAGCAGGCAAAGATAGATGTTAAAATATCTTGATTCCTGCCACTGTTAGCAGCCTTTTCAGGCCTTCCTGGTTTTTGTTTTGTTTTGTTGTGTTTTAGAGAAGCAAATCCTCTGTTTTCTTTTTTTTTTTTTAAGTTAAATAAATGGAATTCATTAATCTCCCTCCTAAAAAACATCCTGAGACTGCAGCTATAAACAGATTTATATGTTTAAATCTATTGGATTATTGAGGGGCAAGAATATTGTGATACATAATCTTATTTTTGTTTGAGGATAACTTATATTTTTATATAACTATTGGTTGTTGTACAGAGCATCACTTGCTCACTCTAAATCATTAATCCTATTCTCTAAGATTTTTTTTTGGTAACATGAGCTCAATAATACTGTGTGGCTTATTTGACTTAAAATTTTCTTCTGTTGAATTGACTGTATAGAGAAACCATTTTTATTTGATAAAAGGTTGATATTTCTTACTACTTAAGTGACTATTTCCCTGCTGTTGTTTCTTCTAGGAGGTTATCATCTTGTGAAAATTGGAGATCTGTTCAATGGGAGATATCATGTGATCCGAAAGTTGGGCTGGGGACACTTTTCAACAGTGTGGTTATCATGGGATATTCAGTAAGTTTTAGTGGGCCTGCAACAGAATTAGTTAGGTGATGCCTAAATGTTTTTGTCTGATTTTCCAGAGATTATCCAGCCTTTAGTCTAGCTCCAGACTGATGTCTTGATCAGAATTTTGTTGTTGATAATCTTTATGTTCTTGGGCAAATGACTACTCTGTTGAAGAAGCACCTTAGAGAAAAAGATTGATTAAATTAGTAAGGTGCTCGGAACTCCCAAATTCAAAGCATTACAAATATTCAATGAAAGTATATATTGGTGTATAAATTTATAGTTTTTCTCACTGGAATAGAGTTAAATTTTTGGATGATGTCCTAGACCAACCTATGTGAAATTATTTTCTTATATTTTGTTTTGGTAACAGATTTGCTGAGCCATACAGTCTAAAACTTTTCTCTACATAAAAATCACAGGCAATTAACATTGGATGTTTACCTAAAAGTGTACGATCTATCTTTGATGAGATAGTAATTGCTGTCTATGAACTTTATTTTTTATCAGTTTGTTTTCACCCAAGTATTTCTTCTGGCTTCCTATAGGAAAGTATTAGAGCTTCTAACCTTTTAGCTTTTGCCATGTAGATATACAGGATAGTTCTGATTTGGTGGAATTTTCCCTCTTATTTGTCCCCATTCATAGTTTTACTTGGATTCAGGAAGACATTCAGAAGGTAGATTTTAACTTAGAGAAAATGTTTGGTGACTACATTACCTGAAAACAGATTTTCTTCTTTCTGTAAATTAAATCTGGCCAGTTAGTGCCATTAACAGGTACAGGTGATCCCAAAGAAGCAGCCTATTTTTGAGTACAGGGAAACATGAAATCAATATTTGTACTTTTGTCACTGTCTCCCAGTTATAGCTAAATCTTAGCTTCCTATAAAGTAAAGGTAGGACATTTAGTCTTACTTGGCTGTGTTTGGTTCTTAGGGGGAAGAAGTTTGTGGCAATGAAAGTAGTTAAAAGTGCTGAACATTATACTGAAACAGCCCTAGATGAAATCCGGTTGCTGAAATCAGTGAGTATTAGATCATATGTGTGAACTGCAAAGCATTATAAATAAAGTTTTATTGAATTAAGACATACCAAATGTAGACTCTTTAGCATGAATTATTTTTACTATAAAATTCTAACATCCTTAAAGAGGTAGAAGAAGATGACAATATTTACACATTCTGTGCCTGTGTTAGGGAACTCGTGGAATATGCCGTGGTGGGAATTCTCCCTACATGCACACTGAAAAAAACTTTCAAATAATCAAAAATGTTTATTGAGCATGTTTTATATACCAGATAACACAAAGAATGGGTTTTTTTCTTACCATGGTTAAAAGGAAAGTTGTATGAATAAATATATAACATCTATTTTATGTTTTAAAATGTTGTAAAAATATATAATAAAAAAATAAACACTATTTATTAATTCCCTTTGTACTTGGAAACTAGGTAAATTTTATCAAAAACTCATTTTGTTTTGTTGTAAATTAGGAAGATATCAGTGTAGTAGAAGGAGCTTAAATTCAGAGTTAGAAAACCTAGCTTTTAGGACCAGCTCTATCCCAATATATCCTCCAACTCGCCATTTTTTTTCTTTTGAGGCTTAGATTCTTCATTTGTAAAATGAATATGTTAGACCAGGAGGGCTCTAAGGAAGTACTTTTCAAAGCGCCAGTCTGTGACAAGATAAGGAGCTCATGCCCAAAAGTAAATCAATATACTGCTTCCTTCATTGAGAAAATTTTTCTATAAAAAAAAGATGTCAGCTGAATAAACAGTGTGGTTAGTGATGTAGTTGATTTGCATCCTGCAAAAGTTCCTTAATTCTTCATGGCCTGGTAACCAGCAGTTAATTTGGGAGTCACACTTGGAGTAGCAAAAATGGTCAAATCAGAACAATAGTCTTTGTTGGTTGTTTCCTTTTGTGAACTGCTTATTTAAGTTCTTTGCCTATTTGAGTTATTAAAATTTTAGTGTGTTTTTCTCATATATTTGTATGGACTCTTTCTTGGAGTGATTAATCCTTTGTTATATTTGCTACAGGTATTCCCTCCTCCAACATTTTGCTTATTTCCATGCTTTCCGTTTTGCTAAATTCTCTCTTCCCCACTGTAGGTTCGCAATTCAGACCCTAATGATCCAAATAGAGAAATGGTTGTTCAACTACTAGATGACTTTAAAATATCAGGAGTTAATGGAACACGTATCCTTTTAAGAATCTATTTGAAAGTAAATCATGAAATAATTTATCCCAAAAAAGGAACCAGATTTGTGCAAATAGTATTGGTCTCTTTTCTCAAGGCAAATTATAATTGAATTACTTTCTTTGATTGTAAACTTCTGAACACAGACGTGAATCATGTCTATCTTGGTATGTTGTGATTTTTCAGGGTATTGCTTTAGGCTTTTTCTCCTTTTCAGGCAAATTAAACCAAAATCAGAGGAAAACTTTTTTAGAAAATAGCCTTGTATTACTAAGTAAAGGTTCTATGATTTTTATTAATTAGCACAGAAATTTTAATGGAAGTAATTTTTCATGATAAATACTGGGTTAAACAAGAATTTAATGCATTTTATTATCTACCAGGCCTCAACATTGAAGAGGCTGTGCATGTGGGTTATGCTTAGAATCTAAACAGGTGTGTTTGTTCACATTCTATCATAGTGAGAAAACTGACTTGTTTTATGTTTTTATCCAGATTCTTAGAATTTTAGAGTTGGAAGGAGCCTTAGCTGGTTTTTGTCATAAGTTCATATCAGAGTGCCATGCAATGAGCTAATTGAAAGGTTGTTGAAACAACTATGCTTATAAAGGCCTATCAGATTTTTCAGAGAAAAAGATGAAGTAGAATCTCACTCAGTTTGGAGAGTCTAAAACTACCTGTTCATAAACTATTTAAAAATGTATAAGGAAAGACATTTCCCATATCATTCTACTTTCTCTGCATGTTTAGCTTCTCTTAACTAGCATTCTTAATTGCTAGTGATGATCTTTTTTTTTTTTTTTTTTTTTGATGAGGAAGATTAGCCCTGAGCTAACATCCGTTGCCAATCCTCTTCTTTTTGCCGAGGAAGATTGGCACTGGGCTAACATCCGTGTCCATCTTCCTCTACTTTATATGGGACGCTGCCACAGCATGGCTTGACAAGCAGTGCATCAGTCTGTGCCTGGGATCCAATTCTGCGAACCCTGGCTGCTGAAGCGGAATGGCGAACTTAACCGCTATGCCACTGGGCTGGCCCCAGTGGTGATCTTTTTTTACGGAGGCAGGCTGCATATGGCTCTGTAGTATCATGTGGACTGTGATTAGAGATTTGAACAGAGAAGCAAGAAGAGAGGATGAGAAAGGAGAGAGAACAGGTGATAATGTGAAAAGATTTTGTCTATCATTCTGAAGTTAGTTGTGAGTTCTTTCCTTGCAGAAGTACAAATCACATATCCCCAATCTCTAAGGAAAACTGCTACAAGAATCATCCCATTTAGAACAGCATCTTGTGTCTATTGTGGTCACTTTGTAGATGGCTTGCTGTGTGTTTATGTGCATGTGTTTTCAAAGTATTAAGAAGAAGGCTAACCAAAAAATAACATGCACAGGATGTCATGATAGCTATTAGATTCAGTTTCCCTGTTATTTGATCTTTTAATGTTTGTCATTGTGCCAAATTTCTCTACTAATTTGGGAAGGTTACAAATAAAACTGCAGAAATATTCTAGATAGTCTCCTTGTTAATGCTGAATACCTTTATTTGACCCTAAGCAAGGAGACTTTTTTCTTTAACTATTGAACTATCTTAGTAGATTTGAATTTCAAGTTCCAAGATATTTTCCAAACATTAACTAGATGTAGTTTCTATCCGCTGAGTCCCTGTTTCATTCATTTCTCCCTTTGTCCTTAGCCATTTCTTTGTGCCCTTCCTCCTACTTGTCCCCCAGCTATCTTGGCTACTGCATTATTTGCTGCTACTAGAGATTGAAAAGGATAAAATGCAGAGCACTGAGTTAAGGGTTAATGGTTATATTACTCTACTGCCCCTCATCTCTTTTCACAACACAGGCATACCTGCATGGAGCTATCTGTATTTTTCTTTGTATCTGAGCATACTGCTTTTTGTCTGGAGCGCTGTCCTTTCTTGTATTGAAATATAAAGGACCGTGAACTAGAAAGTTGGTTATTCTGGAGACTTCAATATAAATCGGTTCATTCTACTTCCATGTGTGGTGAGGGGAGTAGAGTGCTTCAGAAGGGACGGCTGGTCTATGTGTAGTATTGATGTTAGCCATTGAATGTCATTGGCCACCTATGTCACCTACTATGTCTTTAGGATACTGTTTTGTAAAACGTTGTCAAGTTGTAATGCTTCTCTCAAGGAATAAAAGTTAAGATTGAAGCTAGGAACATACGAGAATAACTTAAAAATTCTGTTTTCTGTTTTTGTTTTTAAGCAATCTGCATTTTTAAAAATCATGTTTTGGTATATTTCATATATACAAACATAGAATAGTTTAATGAATCACTACAGATCCATTACCCATTTCGGGAGTTTTCACCTCATAGCCAATCTTGTTTTGTCTAAAGCTTCTGAGAATTTGTGGCCAATCTTAGATACATTATTTCGTCCATAAGTATTTTAAAATGTATCTCCAAAAGACCAAGGACTCTTTTAAAATATAACCTCAACACAATTATTATACTTAAAAAAGTTGGGACCAATTTCTGAGTCATCCAGTATCTAATCAGTATTTCAGTCTCTCCAAATGTCTCATACTTTTTTTTTTATTTTAGTTTTTTTATTCTTATTTGAGTCAGGATCCACATCAGGTCTTTGACAGTTTCTTTATTATTTGGCACATCAAGATGTTCCACACTCATCTTGTACATTTCATTTCCTGTCCCAAACTTGGAATCAGCCATTTCTCTAAGAAGCCCTAATTCCTCTTATTGGGAAATGGAGAACAGAATCTAAGCACTAGGAGTACACTTTGCTGCTGGGTTGATTTATTGCCATTACTTTTATGATTTGTTGATCCATTGCAAAGCAGATACCTTCATTTCCTTCCTCCTCTCCCTTTTTTTGGGTCGCTTGAAGTTGCCCCTGCAGCTTACTCTTGTGGATGGGTGGGTTTGTTTGTTTGCTTGGATTATTTTTTCTCTGTGTGTTTCATTTTGGATAGTTTCTATTGCTGTGCCTTCGTGTTCACTAATCGTTTTTATTCTGCAGTGCCTAATCTGCCATTTATCCCATCCAGTGTATTTTTCATTTCTCGCATTGTATTTTTCATCTCAGAAGTTCAATTTTGGTCTCTTTATTTTTTATATCTTCTATTTCTCTACTTTTCAACATATGAAATACAGCTATAACTGTTTAATTTCCTTGTCTGCTAATTCTAACATCTGTGTCAGTTCTGGGTCAGTTTTGAATGATTGATTATTCTCATTTTCAAGTACATTTTCCTGTATCTTTGCTGCCTGGTTGAGACATTGTGATTTTTGCCTTAGCTGCTGGATATTTTGTATTTTTATAAATCTTGAGCTTTGTCCTGGGATGTAATTATATTACTTGGAAACGGTTTGATCCTTTTTGGATTTTACTTTTCAGATTTTACTTTTTTACTTTATGATTTGTTAGGGGGGTCCAGAGCAGTGTTCAATCTAGAGCTAATCATTTCCTCTACTTAAGCAAGACCATCCTGAATGTCTACCCAATGCCCCATGACTATAAATTCTTCTAGTCTTTTTTTTTTTAATTGAGATATAATTGACATATACCATTGTATTAGTTTTGGGTGTACAACATAATGATTTGATATATGTATACATTGCAAAATGATTACCGCAGTAAGGTTAGTTAACATCCGTCACCACACAGTTACAATTTTTTTTCTTGTGATGCTACTCTCTTAGAAACTTTCAAACATACAATACGATGTGGTTAACTCTAGTCACCATGCTGTACCTTATATCCCCAGGACTTATTCATCTTATAACTGGAAGTTTGTACCTTTTGATTCAGCCATTTTCCTCACCCCCTACCTCTGGTAGCCACCAATCTGTTCTCTGTATCTATGAGTTGGGATTTTTTTGTCAGATTCCACATATATAAATGATATCATACAGTATTTGTCTTTCTCTCTCTGACTTATTTCACTTAGCATAATAATGCCCTCAAGATCTATCCATGTTGTCATACATGGCAGCATTTCCTTTTTTATAGCTGAATAATATTCCTGTGTGTGTGTGTGTGTGTGTGTGTGTGTGTGTGTGTGTGTCTACACACACACACACAACATCTTCTTTATCCATTCATCCATCGATAGACACTTAGGTTGTTTCCATGTCTTAACTATTGTAAATCATGCTGCAGTGAGCATGGGGTTGCAGATATCTTTTGGAGTTAGTGATTTCATTTCCTTCGGGTAAATATGCTAAGTGGAATTGCTGGATCATATGGTACTTCTACTTTTAGTCTTTTGAGGAACCTTCATACTGTTTTCCATAGTGGCTGCACTAATTTACATTCCCACCAATTGTGCACAAGGGTTCCCTTTTCTCCACATCCTTGCCAACACTTGTTATTTCTTCTCTTTTGGATGATAGCCATTTTAACAGATGTGAGGTGATATCTTATTGTGGTTTTTATTTGTATCTGCCTGATGACTGGTGATGTTGAGCACCTTTTCATGTACCTGTTGGCCATCTGTATGTCTTCTTTGGAAAAATGTCAGTTCGGATCCTCTGCTCATTTTTTAATCAGATTTCTTTTTTTCTATTGAGTTGTATGAGTTCTTTATGTATTTTGGGTATTAACTCCTTGTCAGATATATGGTTTGCAAATATTTTCTCCCATTCTGTAGGTTACCTTTTCATTTTGTTCATGATTTCCTTTGCTGCGCAGAACATTTTTAGTTTGATGTAGTCCCACTTGTTCATTTTTGCTTTTTGTTGCCATTGCTTTTAGTGTCAAATCCAAAAAATCATTGCGAAGACCAATGTCAAGGAGCTTACCGCCTGTTTTCTTTTAGGAGTTTTATGGTTTCAGGTCTTATATTGAAGTTGTTAGTCCATTTTGAGTTGATTTTTTTGGGTATACTGTAAAGATAGTAGTCCAGTTTCATTCTTTGGCATGTGGCTGTTCAGTTTTCAAATACCATTTATTGAAGAGACTGTCCTTTCTTTGTGTATTCTTGGCTTCTTTGTGGTAACTTAACTGACCGTATATGTGTGAATTGATTTCTGGCCCATGACTATGACTGAATTTTTCTAATCTTTTTGATGAAAACAGACATTGAGGAGACCTATGGGAACACCAGGTACTATTCTCTCTAATCCTTTCAGGTGATATTTTCCCCCTCTGTTTCTGCTAATTTCCTCATGTACTATGGTGATTGATACTTTGCTGAATACTTGAGGGGTCCCTCTGCAGATCTCCAGGGTTCTCTTTTTCTGCAACTGTCTCCTCTCTGGTACCTTGTTCTATGAACTATAGCTGCCTTGATCTCTCGAGACTGTCAACTCTAACTCAGGAGTCTGCCAGGAAAGTCTCAAGGCAGTAAGATGGGACACTTGTAGGGTTCAGCTCGTTTATTTCTCTTCTCTCGGATCGCTGCCTTCATTGTCTGATGTCCAGCATCTTTACATCTGTTGTTTTACGTATTTTGTCTGCTTTTGTTGTCGTTTCAATCAGGAGGGTAAATCCAGTCCCTGTTATTCCATCTTGGCTGAAGCAGAAATTCCTAGCTGTATGTTTAACTCTAAGAAATTACCAATTAGTTTTCCAAAGGGGTTATACCATTTTATACTTTGTGAGCATAATATGAGAGTTCTAATTGCTGCACATCCTCACCTACATTTGGTCATTAGTCTTTTTATTTTAATCATTCTAGGGAGTTTGAAATAGTATCTTGTAATTTTGATTTGTGTTTGCCTGAGGTAGTCATGTCCCTTTAATCTTCTTTAATTTAGAACAGTTCCTTCCTTTCATAGCATTGACTTTTTTTTTTTTTTTTTTTTTTAAGAATCCAGGCCAGTTGTTTTGTCCCTTAATTTGGATTTGTCTGATTGTTTCCTCACAATTAAGTTCAGATGAATCATTTTTGTCAGTTTTACTACATGGATGATGTTTTGTTCTTCTCAGTGTATTACATCAGAGGGCAAATGACATGAATTTGTGCTCACCATTGGTAGTGATGTCTTCTGGATTTCCCTGTTTAAAAGTATATTTATCTTTTTATAGTTAATAAGCAGTCTGTGGGGTGATAGCGTGACACTGTGACCATTCTTTTTCCCAATAGTCTTTTTGCTCAGTGGTTTTAGTATTCATTGATCCTGAATCAGTTATTCCTATAGTGATTGTAAAATGGTGATTTTCTTTTTCTGTCATACTTTGTATATTTATTACTTGACTTTTTCTCTAAAGAAGACATTTCCCTCCCCTCAACACACACTTATTTTAGTATCCGTTTGGACTCATTCTCTTAAATTCATAAGTTCACTCTTTAAAATGTTCTCAGCTTTGGCCAGTGGCATCCTCTTCATGCTGGTTCCTTTTTCCTCTTGACGTGTTCCCTTACTGTTGGCACGGCAAAGTGTTCCAGGTTTGCCCTGGATTTGGCTGTTTCTTCAAGGAACTCAAGTTTTCTTTTAGTGGAGAATCTTATTTAAAACAAAAGCCTGGGGACCGGCCCGGTGGCGCAAGCGGTAAGTGCGCGCCCTCTGCTGCGGCGGCCCCGGAGTTCACCGGTTCGGATCCCAGGCGTACACAGACGCACCGCTTGGCAAGCCATGCTGTGGCGGCGTCCCATATAAAGTAACGGAAGATGGGCGTGGATGTTAGCCCAGGCCAGTCTTCCTCAGCAAAAAAAGAGGAGGATTGGCAGATGTTAGCAAAGGGCTAATCTTCCTCACACACACACACACACAAAAACAAAACAAAAAGCCTGGACACTAGGTCATTATTACATATGTGTTTCCTGACTTTCCAGTTTATGTAGAAGCTTCTAGAGGTGGATGATAGCAGCATCTTACTACTAAAATCCCTGCAGTGCCCCACGCACTACTAGGCTCATAGAGTATTCTTGCTGTGTGGTGTGATTGGGATGTTCATGCATAAAGAGACCACATGATGGCACTAGAATCAAGATTAGTTTTATAAACTACAGAGCATAAATCAAGTCAGTTTTCTGTTTTAAAAAAATGTCGGATTTGCATTTTTGGGTTAAGTTTTGGTACATTGCTTTCTGTAGTTAAAGTGGAATTTATTTTCCCTTGCTTTGAGACTATGAGAGTAGGAGTTGTTACCCTGGACATTAATTTGGACATCAGGGAAGAGTCTAATCAGCAACTTGAGACTAGCGCTTTCACAAATTGCATGTATGTGTTTCCTTTTTCCTTTTACCACTATTTGAATGTGCATAGTTTTACCAATAAATCAGCCCCCTAGAATTTTCCATTTCTTGGATGTTTTCAGTGACTAAAGCATCAATTAACTTTGGAATTTCGGAATATTGGCAGCTAGATTTTTTTTTTTAGTCAAGCTCTATAACTTTTTATACTGAAAGAATAATACAGTAACAACTTCATTGGGGTAGAATACGTCTTGTCCCTTTCTTCTCTTGTGGCTCCTTTTTCCTCCTTAATGAACTCCTAGATATCTGCATGGTGTTTGAAGTTTTGGGGCATCATCTGCTCAAGTGGATCATCAAGTCCAACTATCAAGGGCTTCCGCTGCCTTGTGTCAAAAAAATTATTCAGCAAGTATGTATCAGTATGTATCTTAGTATTTTCTAGGTGGTGATTTTTTATGTTCTTAAAGTGTCAGGACTTTTCTATTTCCAATAGAATTTTTATTTTAAAAACTAGGATTTTCTAATTGTTAAAATTGTTTTATTCAGCCCGAGGGTGTATTATGTTTATTCTGTTTTTAAATGTTTTAGCGTTACCGTTTTTCCCCAGGTTCATCTCCTATAATAATTATTAGAGGAGAAGCTATGTGCAGTACCTCATTTTGGAAATTTGGAACCCTTACCCAAAAGTTCTGGTTGCAAATATTGATTATATATTAATGGAGAATTGTTATGTCAAATTATTACCATCTCTATATAACATTATTCATGGGCATTTTCTGATATTCTGAATAGCATTCAATATACAATAAAGAAGTTTACCATCAGGAAAATAATAATACTTCAAAGGGCAAATAATTTGTTTGGGTAATGTGTTTTGGGGTAAAGAGCTCCAAACTGGAAAACGAGAGACCTCAGTTCTTCATCAACAAGAAAATTTGAATGAAAAAATATCTAAATCTCTTTCATCACCTACATTTCAACACTTAAAGGGCATGTTGACCATTTATTCTCAGTCTTTATAATGTACTTAGTTAAAGAATTTCTCCAAATAGAATTAGCTTTGTAAAGCTTGGAAGACATTTTTATTATAAATAAACTCTTGCCTTTGTTTATAGTTTACGATTAATCTTTCTGGGGAAGTTTCTTGGGCTTAAAAAAATGCTTTATTGGGGCTGGCCCGGTGGCGCAAGCGGTTAAGTGTACGTGCTCCACTGCGGCGGCCCAGGGTTCGCCAGTTCGGATCCTGTGCACGCACCGACACACCGCTTGTTAAGCCATGCTGTGGCGGTGTCCCATGTAAAGTAGAGGAAGATGGGCACGGATGTTAGCCCAGGGCCAGTCTTCCTCAGCAAAAAAAAAAAAAAAAGAGGAGGATTGGCATTGGGTGTTAGCTCAGGGCTGGTCTTCCTCACACACACAAAAATGCTTTATTCTCTGTAGAAAACTACCATATCGTTTTTATATTTTTATTTTTGAAAATGTTGAGGCCAGCCCAGTGCCACAAGCGGTTAAATGCGCACGCTCCGCTGTGGCGGCCCAGGGTTCACGGGTTCGGATCCCGGGCGCACACTGAGGCACCGCTTGTCAAGCCATGCTGTGGTGGCATCCCATATAAAGTGGAGGAAGATAGGCGTGGATGTTAGCCCAGAGCCAGTCTTCCTCAGCAAAAAGAGGAGGATTGGCAGATGTTAGCTCAGGGCCGATCTTCCTCACAAAAAGTAAAGTAAAAATGTTGTATTATGATTTCTTCCTTTTCCAGAAAGACTTGTATTCTGTGTTTGCCAAGTCTACCCTTCTATTCTCATTCAGGTGTTACAGGGTCTGGATTATTTACACACCAAGTGCCGTATCATCCACACTGACATTAAACCAGAAAACATCTTGTTGTCAGTGAACGAGCAGTACATCCGAAGGCTGGCTGCAGAAGCCACAGAATGGCAGCGATCTGGAGCTCCTCCACCTTCCGGATCTGCAGGTATATTTGCTTTGGGGACTTTGCTGTCATTAGAAGTTAAGAGAAATTCCTATTTTTATTCTATTACAGGCAGTTAAGTAAAGCACCACTCATTCATTTAACAATAAGATACAGTAAGTACTTACATGTTAGAAATAGTCCCAGCCTTCAAAAGACTTTTTATTCTCAGTATTGCTCCTATGTGGGAAGAAGACTAGAGATTGTGTCTTTTAGGTACAGATAAGTTGTATATTATAAAAGCTGATTTATCTTGTTGTTTTAAAATGTCTTGTGATTTGATGGCTCTTTTTGATGTGTTTACCTCTTACCATGATCATGCATGCTCACTTATGGATCAGTCATTTGTGCAGGGGCAAGATAACATTGCTGTTAAGAGCTTGGGTATAAGCACTAGAGTGGACAGACCTGGTTTGAATCCTGGCTTCATCATTGGCTGGGTGACCTTGGGCAAGTCACTTGACTTCATTTTCCCTCATGCAGGAGTTATTGGGATTAAATTTCATGTTAAAGCAGTTAGTAGTGTGCCACACAGTATTATGTGCTAAATAAATGGTGACTACTATGATTATGGTGATTTTTTTCCATTTGAGGTAGAGATTTTAATTTTAGTAGTTTAATTATATTTGAGGAACTTTCTTGATCCTCAAGTTGAAATATCAGTTATCATAGGCTTCCTTTAAAAAGGAAGACTGAAGAAGGGGAAAATGAGTTATTCAATGGACATAGAGTTTCCTTTTTGCAAAATGAAACAGTTCAAAAATGTTACACAGCAATGTAAATATAGTTAACACTACTGAACTGTGAACTTAAGAATGATTAAGAGGGAAATTTTATATTAAGTGTTTTTTACCACAATTGAAAAAATTTTTTAAAAAGGAAGACTAAAGGGCCAGTCCGGTGGTGTAGTGGTTAAGTTCTCACGCTACACTTCAGCGGCCCAGGGTTCACAGGTTTGGATCCCGGGAGCAGAGCTACACACTGCTCATCAAGCCATGCTGTGGTGGCGTCCCATATACAAAATAAAGGACAGTGGGCACAGATGTTAGCTCAGCAACCATCTTCCTCAAGCAAAAAGAGGAAGATTGGCAACAGATGTTAGCTCAGAACCAATATTCCTCACTGGGGGAAAAAAAAACAAGACTGGCTTAACTAATATCCATAACGTGCTATATAACAACTATAGCTCATGATGCCACTCGTTCTTTACAACTGACAAGTGCCAAGGGGAAGAATTAGAGATGAGAGTCCTGAGTGGGGTTGAGGGAGTTGTTGCCTATCATTTTCTATTTTAAGCAGTACATGGGAATGGGATTTTAGCAGCATTAATAGTGGAACCAGAAATGGGGACTTGGCTCTTTGCATATATTGATGCTAACTGGAGAAGAATTTCATTTATTTAAACTTATTTTGTCTGGCAACTTCTGTATGCATTGTTCTTTTTAAAAAAGTAATGTTGCTTCTACGAAGTTGCTTAAAAACAGTAATTTTCTCTACAATATAAACTACATAAGACACTTCATTCTGGTAGGGTGTCTTATATGAGCCTTAGTTTATACTGCCTGCTGAATGCCGAGATTCTTACTTGGTTTTCTTTCCTTTTCAGTCAGTACTGCACCCCAGCCTAAACCAGTAAGTATAAGGCGTTTCTATATTTGATTCTGATCTATGGGCAATGGGCAGGGATTCTTCTGTTATGGTTGGGGTCAGTTTGTTTAGAGTTTGAAAACCCAATTAAAAAATATTCCTGCACTTCTTTAATTTTCTTCAATAAATTTCCATGCATCTTTAGCAGATGTGTTGTACTGGTGAGACTTCTATAAATTTGAGTGTCTCTGAGAGTACACCAGCCCCACAGACTGCTCAGAGGACCAAGATTTGTTGTTAATTTTGTTTTTGTTTGGTTTCATGAGAGTATTCGAATTTTTTAAGTTAAAGAAAAACTTAAATGCAATGAGGGAAATTTAATTAGGGAGTAATTAAAGTCTCCAACTGGGGGTAATAGATTAGCCACCTGAAGGCTCTATCTGTTTGTAATCTCCGCCCAGGCTGACAAAATGTCAAAGAATAAGAAGAAGAAATTGAAGAAGAAGCAGAAGCGCCAGGCAGAATTACTAGAGAAGCGAATGCAGGAAATTGAGGAAATGGAGAAAGAGTCGGGCCCTGGGCAAAAAAGACCAAACAAGCAAGAAGAATCAGAGAGTCCTGTTGAAAGACCCTTGAAAGAGAACCCACCTAATAAAATGACCCAAGAAAAACTTGGTATAAATAGAGCATCACGAAAATTACGTTATAGCAAACTTTAACATTAATTTATCATTGTTATAGAACATAGTGGTTTCATGCATACAACATTCGGGGGGTGTCCTTATACAATAAGAATACAGAACTTGTCATAAATATCAGACAGGTAATATTCAAATGTAATTTCTAACTTTCCTCAGAAAATACGCCATAGACTTCATTTAGCAATTGGGTAAGGATAAGAAGATCTTGTCCTTCCATAAATAGGTTTTAGATATTCAGTCATGTTTTTATGTTACCGTGTATAAATTCTAGAAAATGTTTTAATCTTGTGGAGAAATTTTTCTGTTCTTTCCCTCATGCACATACATCCTTTTTGTCTGTTTGTTCCTTAGAAGAGTCAAGTACCATTGACCAGGATCAAACACTTATGGAACGTGGTGTAGAGGGTGGTGCAGCAGAAATTAATTGCAATGGAGTAATTGAAATCGTTAATTATACTGAGAACAGTAATAAAGAAACATTGAGGCTTAAAGAGGATCTGCATAATGCTAACGACTGTGATGTCCAAAATTTGAAGCAGGAACCTAATTTCCTAAGCTCCCAAAATGGAGACAGCAGCACATCTCAAGAAACAGACTCTTGTACACCTATAACTTCTGAGGTGTCAGATACCATGATGTGCCAGTCTTCATCAAATGTAGACCAGTCATTCAGTGAACAGGACATCAGCCAACTTCAAGAAAGCATTCGGGCAGAGATACCCTGTGAAGATGAGCAAGAGCAAGAACATAATGGACCACTGGACAGCAAAGGTACTTGTGCAGGCGTACTTCTGCAGTACTCCTTCCCTGCATAACATATTCATGAATTTCTAGACTAAAATTAGCATTGTTTTTGTAAATACAGCTTTACAGCAGGTTTCCAATTTACCTTAAATGTGTAAATCTGTAGCTAACTTTGAATTTTATTGGTCATGTAGTGGGTGCAGAGCATTTCACCTTTTGCTATGAAGGCTGAGGTTTTAATTCTGAAAACTCAAGGTATTGGTGTACTGTTTTTATCTTAGAAAAGTTATCGTAGGTTGCCATTTGGAGGCCTGGGTGTGTTACCTCAAAGAGTTTTATTAACCTTTGGGCATTTCTATGTTCATTGAACAGTCATTGATAATGCCTGTTGTCTATAGGAAAATCCACTGCTGGACATTTTCTCGTTAATCCCCTTGAGCCAAAAAATGCAGAAAAACTCCAAGTGAAGATTGCTGATCTTGGAAATGCCTGTTGGGTGGTAAGTCATTATGTTTTGAAGTGACTGGGAATGAATGAAAATTTGGACTTTGTTGTGCTAAAAGAAGAAAACATATGAAATTCTATATCCAGATTGCCAGTTAACATTTTAGTGAATATTATTTCACTTTTTCTTTTAACCTTTTATTATGGAAAAGTTCAAATATATTTATAAATGTAGAAAGGATGGTATAATGAAACAGTCACCCCAACTCCAGGTACCTGTCACTCAGCTTCAGTAATGTCAACTCCTTGCCAATCCTTTTTTATCTATATTCTCATTCATTTTCATACTCTCAGTGCCTACGTTCATACTTTCCCCACTGTTTTCTTTTTTTTTTTTTTTTATAATTTTTTTTTTTTTCCCCCCCCAAAGCCCCAGTAGATAGTTGTATGTCATAGCTGCACATGCTTCTAGTTGCTGTATGTGGGACACGGCCTCAGCGTGGCTGGAGAAGCGGTGCGTCGGTGCGCACCCGGGATCCGAACCCGGGCCGCCCGCAGCAGAGCGCGCGCACCTAACCGCCAAGCCACGGGGCCGGCCCTCCCCACTGTTTTCAAAATTGCCATCTAACTTATTAACTATAACCTTTTAATTCACTTAATATAGTTTGGTGACTTGTCTTTGTCAACCAAAAATTTGTATCAAGTTCAATTGGCTGTGCAGTATTCACTAGAATGCTGTGACCTTACACATTTTTGACAGCTCTTTGTGATGAGCATCTTTGCTCGTGAATCTTTGTGTAGTTGTCCTTAAGACATATTGTAGACGTGAAATTGCTAAGTCAAAAGAGGGATGCTTTTCTTTAAAAGAACTTTTTGATGTAATGTGTCATATTAATACTGTTGTTTACCTAGATAAGAATGTTTTTTTGCATTATTTTTAATGGACATCTTTTTAAAATCTACAGTAGCATGATTTGCACATAAAGGACACTACTCAAAGGCCATATGCTTTGTAAACAGGAATGCTGAAGATTGTTGAGGCAAAAACTGAGCTGTTGAAAATCTACTTAAATAGGTTTTATGTTTATTTTTATACTTCAAATTCCCTATTCCACATGTCATCCTGTACCTAATGGTTCATACCCTAGTAGGACCTCACTTCCAATATTGATTCTACCATATTGTGATAACCTTTTAGAAAAAATGAAGTCAGAGCTTAGCGATGGCTGATAGGAATGTGGAAAAGCTTTTCAGGTAATTAAAATTAGTCTACCACGCCACCGTCTGGTCCCAGCCACCATATGTTTTCACCTGGATAACTGCAATAGCCTCCTCACTCTCTCCTTTTGCTGCCCTTGTCCCCTACAGACTTGTCTACACAGCTGTCACAGTGATCCTTCTAAATGTAAGTCAGGTCAAATATTCTGAAAACCTTGCCATGGCTTCCCTCAGAATGAATGCCAAAGTCCTTACTGTGTCCCATACACCACCAAGCAAAAAATACTTACTGTTTCTTCTGCCTGGAATTCTTTTCCCAAGATAATGTGTACAGCTCACTTCCTCATTTTCTTCAAGCTCCTGTTCAGATATCATCTTATCAGGGAGATCGTCCCCTCAACACCTAACATAAATAGCAGACCACCACTCTCCAAACCCTTACACCTTCATTATATTCATTCAGGTATTTCCTGTCTCTTCCTCTCCCCTCTCAGTTTTTTTTTTTCCTCCACAGCACTTATCACAATCTGATACTATATATTTGTTTGTTTAATATCCCTCTTCTTAGAACGTATGTCCCATCACAACAGAGATTTTTTTGTTCACTGCTGTATCTGCAGTACTTAGAACAGTGCCTGGTACATAGAACGTGCTCCATAAATATTTAAGTAAGTGAATTGTAGAGAAACATATTGGTTCTGTAACAAATACCACATGGTACAAACATGAAATGCTTGTTAGTTTTCTGCCCACACCATGTTTCAAGCTTTCATGCCTTTGTGTTTGGAACACCTTCCTCCATGCTTTCCTTACCCTTTCCATTTGGCACACTTATCTTTATTCTGGTACGATCTTTCCTGTCACTTTTACTACAACAGAATTAGTCTCTCTCTCTCTTTTCTTCAACTATTATGTGCACGTCATCTTTCTTTTTTTAACGTGTCTCTATGCTAAAATGACTTTACATTCTTTTTATCCATTCACTCATTGAGCAAACATAATGGCACATACTGTGACCTAGCACCAGGACACAGTGGTGAATTAGACATGAGTGTCCTGGCCTGCTGGATCCTGGTCAAATCACACATCTTATTGGTCTCTTCAGCACAGTGGTATCTGATATTCAGCAATGGAATTTTATATGATTTTAAAATAGCTTGATTTTTTTTAAGATATTATACTTTTGCTTATCTGTTATGCATGTGTATAGTTTAGAGACAGTTGTGTAGATTTTGATTCAAAAATCTATCCCTTCCCTTTGCCAATTTTTCATTCCCCACATAATAGTATTTACCTTCATATCATTAATAAATAACTTGGCTATGTTACTCCCAATTCTTTTTTTCAATTTTAGGTATTATTTCTTCCTTCTGGAACGTAGCACTCATTTACCACCACTGTACCCCTTCCCCATCTTCCCAATTTAATATGATTTTCGGCTAGGTGATCATTCCATGTTTCTATTAGTAGGACTCTAATGTTATCCTCAGCTGAACTGATGATATATTGTGTTATGATTCCTTTTCCCTTTCCGCCTAACACTAATGTTTCATTTGCTTAGTTGTCACTATACTACTTATCATTTAATTCAACCCACACTTTCACCCAGTGGTGTAAATACATACACTTTAAATCATACAGATACTGTGGCTATTTTTCAACTGCTTCCTAAAGAGCTCTATCCTGGAACCTGGAATTTTCTAAACTGTATTCATCTAAACTGTAAACTGTTGGGTTGCCCTGCAGGCCTGCTGCATTACTGCCATTTGGGATTTCCTTTCACCATCATCCTGGACTATTGTTTACTCTCTCTTTATATCCCATTTTCTGTCTCTCTGATCTTCTTTCTTGGTTTACTCCATCATTTTGTTTTGTTTTGTTTTGTTTTGTTTGGAGTACATACAGCCTGCAGTAGCTTCCTAAGAAAGGGTGTGCGAGTTGGGGTGGGGGTGGCCTGCTTGTCTGATCGTGTCTTTATTCTGCTTTCACACTCAGTTGGCTGCATGTAAAGTTCTAGGTTGAAAATCGTTTTCCCTTAGAATGTTTGTCATTGCTCTCTTGTCTTCTAGTTTCCTGTCTTGTTGCTGCTAAAGACCAGTGCCGTTCTGATTCTTGATCCTTTGTGTGAAAACTTTTGCCCCTGTGGATGTCTGTAGGATCATCATTTCACAGCAATATGCCTCACTAGGTCTGTTTTCATCCGTATGCATCCATAAGGGCTTAGTGTGCACTTTCAATAATGAAACTCTAGTTCTTTGGTTTTGACTCTTTCTTGATTTTTTTTTTTTTATTCTCTTCTCTTTGGTCTCTATTCTCTAGCTCTGAAATCTTGTTATTCAAATATTAGACCTCCTATGCAGATCTCTCATTTTCTTACCTTTCTCTCCTATTTTCTATCATTTTCCTTTTGTTTTCTGGGAGATTTCTCAACTTGTTCTTATAAGCCTTATTTTTTTCTTATTTCTCCTATTATATTTTTACTTTTTAAGAGTTCTTTGGTTCTCTGATTATCCCTCAGAAGATGTTGATTATTTTTCCATTTTCAACATTGTCTTCTTCCTATATGGTATCTGTTTAGGATCACTAAACAAAAGACTGTCTGACTGTATGAATGGAGTACTGGAAAGCTGTTTGAGAGCTCTGTGCCTGGGTGCATCTCGTTGACTGTTATTCAGTGTAGAATGATCTGTCTGGGCTGTTTTCATTTCATCCTTAGATGTCAGGATCTTTGGATCTTTCCTCTTGGATTGGTCGTATTTCCCACAGAAGACTTATAGTCTTCCTCAAATCTCCTACCCAGTGAGTAAATGCCTGGCTCCTAGTGTTCTGGGAGCTGAGTTAAGCAAGAAAACTGAGGCTTCAACACACAATTACATACAGTCACTTAATTTCACTGTTTTCAGAATGGTCCTCTCCCTTTGACTATGCGGGGCATCCTCCAGAGATCCTGTTTTACTCACTCCAAAGAAAACCTCTAATGGTCTGTTGGGCCAGGGAAGGGACTGTTAGACTGCATCGTGCCCTGTGTTCTGGAGCTCTTTTTCTTTAAAGGTATTTTAAAGCAGTATTCTCCTGTTGAATTCCTACCCTCACCCCTACTCCCAGAGATACCTGATACCACCAAGTCCTGAGCCTTTGAGGGGAGGAGTACGGTAGTATACCTCACACTGCTTCTTAGCTTTCACCAGTAGCTTATTATTTAGCTTTCTTGGATCCACTAAGACATTTACCAGTGATCTCTTTGCTTTCCAACTTCTACATTTTATTGCTCTGACTTCTTTACCAGTCTCTGTCTTTGTCAGTTTATGCTTTAAAAATTAATGCTGGATTCTCTACTGAAGTGGAGTTTGAGGAGTGAGTGGATATATGTGTGTGTATCCAATCCGCCTTCTTTACTTTTGCTGATTCTTGACCTCATTTATCATTTACAGCACCTTTGTAAGGCGGTACTGAGGCACAATGAGTAAAGACAACTCCCTTGAACAGCGTGTCCATTGTTCTAAATGTATCACCTGCAAGTACATTTCCACTTCAAACTCAGTATCTGAACCCACTGTTTTCTTATAAAACCACTTCCTTCTCTGAGTCTCTTCATCTCTGTTTTTGTCAACAGATAGCCAGCTCTTTAGGCCTCTGCCACAAAGTTCCTTTGGCTCTTCCTACTGTCTCCCACGTCTAGCCATTGAATTTTTAAATTCTCCTCATTCTTTCTGTGAATGTCCTTGGGTTTAAATCTTCCCTCTCCTAGTTCCACAACCATTGTTCAGGTTTTTATTACTAAGCCTAAATCTGGCTACCAACCAGAAGAAAATTACTGGAGTGGTGCTCTCAGGTGTCACATCAGTCTTCTTGTAGCACACTGTCCTATTCACTAACATGCCAGGTGGAATCTAAACTCTTTAACCAAGCAGTTAGCTGTATTTGGCTTTAGCAAACTTCTTTCTTTGCCTGTATTGATGTTCCCTTTACTTGGAGTACCTTTTTGCCCTTTTGTTTAGACTTAATCCAGTACCTTTTGGAGCTCTGGTCAATACTGGTTCACTACCTGAAGCTTTCTCTGCCTAATTTCTCCTCTTCACAAATGCTGTTCCTTGTTTTTGAATTTCCATAGGATTAGAGAATTGTCTTTCACAACTTTCTTAAACATGTTTTAATATTATCTGAGTTTTGTCTCCTGTATATGACTCATTCTGAGCTGCTTTTTCCTGTATTATTTTTTATTATGGAAAATTTCAAACCTCTACAGAAGTAGAGAGAATAGAATAATAAACTCCTGTGCCGTTTTACCAGTGTCACCCAGCAATGATGAACTCATTGCTAGTCTGTTTTCACGTATATCCCCACCCTGCTACCCACTCCAGATTATTTTGAAAGTATATCCCAGGCATCTTATTTTCATTCATAAGTATGACTTTCTAAAAGATGATTCTTTTAGGTAACCATGATACCATTGTTACACCTAAAAAAGTTGACAATTCACTAATATCAAATATTTAGTCAGTTTTGCCAGTTATCTCATAAACATTCCTTTAATTTTGTTTGTTTGAAACAGGATCCAAATAAAATCCATGAATGCAAAATGGGGTACTATGTCTCTTAAATTGCTTTTACTATAGAGATTTTCCCTTTTTTTCCCCATACAATTTATGTGTTAAAGAAACTCCACTTATTTTGCTGATTGCATCCCCATGGTACTTAACATAGTCTCTGTTTCCCCAAGATTCGTATTTGAGTTTTGGGGGAGGGGTGAGGGGGACAGAGGAGAATGAGGGCAAGAATTCTTTATAGGTGGTGCTTAAAAGGGTCTTGAAACTTGAAACCTACGTCTTTTATTTCCTCATAATGAGCACATAGCAAGGAAAAGTTTGAATTGAACCTAAATTAGTGTCATTTATTTGTTGAAATACATTATTAACTTTAGACAAATGAACAATATAATTTTTGGGGTAATAGTTTTCCGTTTCTTAAAAAGCAATTGTTATTCCCTAACCTGTGGATCTGTGTTAAGTTTAGACTCACATGTTCACAAAAATAACTTGGAGTAGACTGTAAAGCAAAGTGCTGTTTGGAGCTAATAGCATCAAAATGATACTTAAGGGGCTGGCCCGGTGGCACAGCGGTTAAGTGCACGCACTCTGCTTCAGCGGCCCAAAGATTTACAGGTTCGGATCCCGGGCGCATACCAATGCACTGCTTGTCAAGCCATGGTGTGGCAGCATCCTATATAACATAGAGGAAGATGGGCACGGATGTTAGCCCAGGGCCAGTCTTCCTCAGCAGACAAAAAAAAGAAAGATACTTAAGAAATTAGCTAAAAGAAAACTTTGGTCTGGGGAAAACTTTGGAGAATTTATTTTAATCTCCATTATTAAGCAGTCATGACTTGTTACTTTTTAGAATAAATGAATTTTAAAATACCGTTTGCTTCTCCATTCACTCAGCACAAACATTTCACTGAAGATATTCAAACAAGGCAGTATCGCTCCTTGGAAGTTCTGATAGGATCTGGCTATAACACCCCTGCTGACATTTGGAGCACGGCATGCATGGTAATGATTTTTTCCTCTTGACCTTCACTTGTTATGTGGTAGATGCGTACCTTGCCCTGTTTGCTAATTTCAGAAGACCAGCAAATTAACAAACAGAAAAAGAATTTTTTTTGTGAATTATCACTGGCACTCTAAATCCTGTGCCTGGAGAGGTCTGAATTCAAAAGCTAGTTACAAATATCTGGAGTTTTATTTGATTCCTGCCAAGTTCCTGTGAGGTGAAGGAACCAAATGTTTCTTACTACAGGTTGTTGGCATGGGGTGGGTGGGGGGCAGTAAAAACAACTGCTCTAAGGTGGTCTTGCTTTTGACTAGGAGGTTACAGGTACCCTTTCCCTTTCAGCTGTGCTCTATTTTCAGATTAGGGAAACTGCTTCATTCTGTGCAGTTCAGCAGTTCCTCAGATAGCTTTGCATCTCACAAGATGTGAAGCCCAATTATCCGTAGATTCATAAGTTGCTGCTTTGTCCCTGGTAAGGAACTACTTGAGTAGTCAGCTTTAGTTGATATTAAATGATTTGCCACAAATAGCCTAATGTTGGAATGTGTTTATTATATTGTTTCTTGAAATGGAGTGTACTCTTCAATTTGTAATTGTGTGTTTATTACTTGTCTGTCTTCCACTACATTATAAGTGCCATCCTGGCAGGAGTCATGTCGGTTATGTATAGCTGTGTCTGGTTCAAGGCCTGGCACATTTTGAGTGGGTGCTTACAGTGCAATTCTGGTGCTAACTACCCAGACTTCACAGGTTAAGGGCATAGTTTCCCACAAGACTGCGCTCACTTCAGATACCAACCATAAGCTCTGGATCCACAGGCCGCCTGCACTTCTGACCAACTGGCTACAAATAGGAGGGTTCCACTATCCTTTCAGTTTCGCTAATTTGCTAGAATGACTCACAGAACTCGGAAAAGTGCTAAACTTACTATTATAGTTTTGTTATGAAGGATACAAATCAGGACTGGCCAAATGAAGACATGCATAGGGCAAAGCCTGAGGGGGTACCAAAGGTGAAGCTTCTGTGTCCTTAGGACATGTCACTTTCCCGGCACATGAATGTGTATCACCAGCCAGGGAAGCTCACCCAAGCTTCAGGTGCACAGAGTTTTTATTGAGATATCATTGCTTAGGCATGACTGATTGAATCATTGGTCACGTGGTTGAATTCAGTCTCCAGCCCCCTTCTCTTCCCTTCCCTGCAGGTTGGGAGATCAGGATGATAACACAGGGCTCAAAGCCTCAAGCCTCTAATCACACAGTTGATCTTGTTTAACTTGGGGGCGTGTCCAGCCCGAATCTTGAAACTATCTAGGGGCCTATCGTGAGTCACCTCATTAAGTGTAAACTTAAATGTGGTCTGAGGGGCTCACCATGAATAACAAAAGGCACTCTTATCACTGGAAATTCCAAGAATTTAGAGGCTCCCTCCCAGGAAACAGGAACAAAGAGGAAACAAATTCTTTATTAAACAACAGTATTAATAAATATTTGTGGGGCCGGCTCCGTGGCTTAGCGGTTAGGTGCGTGCGCTCTGATGCTGGCGGCCCGGGTTCGGATCCCGGGCACGCCCCAAGGCACCACCTCTCCGTCCAACCTGAGGCCGAGTCCCACGTACAGCAACTAGAAGGATGTGAACCTACGACATACAACTATCTACTGGGGCTTTGGGGGGAAAAAATGAATAAATAAAATCTTTAAAAAAAAAATAAATATTTGTGGTCCATCAAATGAGTGAACTAAATCAGAAACATATTAAACATATTAAACATTTCAATTAACATTTAGTATTCACAGTCAACTCTGGGAGAAACTTCAGACAGAGAGAAAGACAGACAAGAAACCCAGCCTGTTTTAGGTTATAGATTTCTTGACACCCACATTCCTGAAAAACATAGTCTTTCAAAGGTAATTGAGTTAAAACCATGTTGTTAATATGGCATGACCTTATAAATCATTCTGTTGTGGCATATCAATGGTCTTTTAAGGTGGAGGACTATCTGAAATAAAATAAGGTTTAATATCATGTGCATAAGATGAAAAAGCATTGGAATAAAACCTGACTTCTTTCTTGCCATACTTTAAAGCTTTGTAATTTGAGGAATTTGATTCAAATTGATTTGCTGCTAGAGAAAATAAGTGATAGCGGTGCCACCAACTACAAAATATAGCTAGTGTATAGATGGCATCTGATTTATTATGATGTAGTTCTTAATAGTAGGTTAATTGTTGGAGGGCAGTAGGTCCTGCTTGCTATTTAACATAGTTTTTACAATGTCAGGCTTAAGAAGTAAGGCAAAAAGATAAAAGGAGAATTAACCTTGCCCCCTGATTGGATCAGTTCACATGCAGAAATTTTCTTGACCAAGGGAGGGAAACCACTCTCTGACATGAGACAATATCATGAAAACTTGAGCTCATTTTGCTGATAGATGTAGAAATGTTGCTTTAAATTTGACCATACTCAGAGAGTTAAAATAAATCCTGGAATATCAGAAGTGCCTGAGAGAAATCATCCTGCATCCAATGCAATTAATTGCTGGAAAGATTGGGACCCTCTCTGAGAGGTAGAGATAAGTTGTGAGATTTGCCTACCACATTAGTGATTGGGACTACAAAGTTAGAAGGGCAGTAATAAAAAGAGAATGTTCTGTGAAGAAGAATAAAAATTAATAAAGAATAGGGGGCCAGCCTGGTGGCATAGAGGTTAAGTGCGCACGCTCTGCTGATGGCGGCCCGGGTTCAGATCCCGGGCACGCACCGATGCACCGCTTGTCAGGCCATGCTGTGGCGGCGCCCCATATAAAGTGGAGGAAGATGGGCACAGATGTTAACCCAGGGCCATTCTTCCTCAACAAAAAGAGGAGAATTGGTGTGGACGTTAGCTCAGGGCTGATCTTCCTCACACACACAAAAAAAAATTAATAAAGAATAAATGTTTTTAAGTTCTCCAAACATTCTGTGGATTTTGACAAATGTATAATGACATGTATCCACCATTATAGTGTCATACAGAATAGTTTCACTGCCCTAAAAATCCTCTATGTTCTGCTTATTTATCTATCCTTTGCTCCCCTCAACCCCTGCCCACCACAGATCTTTTTATTGTCTCCATAGTTTTGCCTTTTCCAGAGTGTTATATAATTGGAATCATACAATTAGCCTTTTCAGGTTGGTTTCTTTTGCTTCATAATACTCACTTGAGGTTCCTTCATGACTTGATCATTCATTTCTTTTTAGCACTGAATAATATTCCATTGTCTGGATTTTGTAACTGATTTTGCCTGTGTCTGTCCGCATGACCCTGACTGGCAGAGAGGAGGCTCTTTGGTCGGTGTGAGACAACCAGAGGAGTGGGAGTCAGCAGCAGTGGATTCTAGGAGGATGGGCTTTGCCTTTCCATTTTGGACACAGTTTTCTTTTTTTTCTTTTTTTTTTTTTTCGGTGAAGATGATTAGCCCTCAGCTAACCTCGTTTGCCAGTCCTCCTCTTTTTCCTGAGGAAGATTGGCCCTGAGCTAACATCTGCCCATCTTCCTCTATTTTATATATGGGACGCCTGTCACAGCATGGCTTGATAAGTGATGCATAGGTCTGTGCCCAGGATCCGAACCTGTGAACCCCGGGCCACTGAAGCAGAGCGCGCAAGCTTAACCGCTATGCCACCAGGCCGGCCGCCACAGTTTTCTCATCTATAAAGGAATGGTGTTCAGCTAGGTGTTTTGTAATCTGTAGCTTCCGCCAATTTTCATTTCTGGTATTGTGATCTTTTGGTTTGGTTTGCCTTGGTTTTTTGGCTGTCATCGTATTTGTAAAATTGTAACTATTAGCAACTACCTTATGTTCCAAAAATAAAGTTTTCTTGGAGAACTTTAGGTAACTAGATATAAGTATTTAGGTGGAAAAAAGTTAGAAAATTTTAAAATTTTAGAAAAATTTCTGTATTTTTTAAACTTTACTTCTATTATGTTTACTGAATGCCCACTAATAGTTTGAAAAATCAAAGTACTGGTTTCAGAAGAGATTAACAAATTGTGATGAATAAGAATCATAATTTGTTTCTGTTCTGCCTTGGGACTGTAAACCACAGGATAATTAATGGGTAGAACAAGTACCTGCTCTACCAGCGTGGTTCAGTTTCATAATGAACTGCTGGAATGTAAAATAGGCTAGGCCTTGCAAGAAGCCATAGCATCCCTGACATTTTAGAGACAATCCTGAAACTTCTGGTTTTGTGGCCTTACTCTGGACGGTAGTACAACCCAGGTGATACAGTTTTGAGAAAGGCTGTCTTGTCAGGGAACTGCAGAAACTGATACTGGCAAGCCACCGAGACCTAAACCTTGGTCTAATTTGAGAATGCGCCCCAACTAAATCCACCCCACAGTTCTTGAGATTGTCTGGACTACTTAGTACCATTGACTCAATCAAAATTGACCCATGACTAGCACTTGACTTAGAATTGTACTTTTATATCAGTAAGGTCCTTTTTAAAACTGCTATGTTGTTTTTGTAATCCAATTTTAATCAATAGAAAATTAATATAGCCCCTCAATCAGGTGCTGTCTTTCCGTACTGCTTGGCACTTATTCCAAAAGAAATCACTTTTTCAGATCCTGTTGAACACTGTTGACAAGAGGTTTTCTTGTAGGAGACACGTGCCTTTCTTTTCCTGGCTAGTGAATGCTAACCTGCCAGTCATGTAGCACATGAGTGGCTCCTCACTCCATTTACTCTTAATCTTTTTCTGATTTACTGTAGACCTAGGAATTGGGAACTCTCTAACTGGGACAGTTTAGGGGGTGCTTTCCAAAGCAAAACTTAAAAATGTACTTTTTGCCTAAGAGTCATAGGTGGAGAAATGTCTGGATTTTTTGGCTTTCATTTTGGGTACAGAATCTCAATTTCTAGCCGTGTGAAATTACAATGTAAGAAAATAAGACCTGCTCTTCTCATGAATAATTTAATAACTTAGATTCACCTTAATACCCAGATGTGCCCCTCTCTAAGCAAAAAGAAACTCAAGAGAGGAGAATTGCTGATTTGGGAAGGGGGTGGGTGGGACATGGAATAATCCACATGTTGATATTAACTGAGTTTTTGGTTTTTTCCTGCTCCATTTTGTTAATATACAGATGTGGACGGAAAGCTCTTTAGGAATAATCTTAGATATTTTTTTCTTAATGATCATCTGCAGGTTTTTCCAAGAAGAAAAAATTACTTCTTATTGAGCCAAGTAGCAGTAAGCTTCCCAAAGACCTTTTTTTTTCTTTCTTTCTGATGCCTTTATGTGCTATCCTCTTTTTCTTAGGCCTTTGAACTGGCCACAGGCGACTATTTGTTTGAACCTCATTCAGGGGAAGAGTACACTAGAGATGAAGGTGAGTCCCCTTAACCAAGGATTTCTGGGCATGGTTGGTACACTTTCCACAGGCAGCCAACGTCATGTGTTAGTACTGAAGAGCGTTAGTCTTTTTAGTATGCTACATATATATAAATCCCAGAAAAGATCGAAATGTAAGATGTTTTATATTAGGTGTTAGATATACTAGATATTTTATTATAGATGTTAAAGAACTCTATATAAGTATTAGAGAAAAGGCTACAATTGGTTAAACTAAAACTTGTATTTGCCACTTAATTTCTTCTAAAACATCTAGTTATCTTCCTTTCTATATAAATCAGTGATTCATTCTTTACCCAGTTTGAATCTCCCTGTTCAACAACTTGTTGCTCAGTTATGCCTCCAGCTTTATTTGGAAGTCAATAATTTTAATGTACAAACACACTACTTGAATACAGAGACTGTATCCTATTTGTCTTTATCAATTTTGTGACATTTAGCATTCTTTTTTCCCCTTTCTGAAAATTAAAGCCATATTTTTTTCTTTTTAAATGATACTAACATTTAGAATTCCATTTTAAAACAAAATATGATTGATTTACATTTTGTGATACCAACTTGGGCTTTTCCCACTATCACTTGCTCCATCTGAGAGGCTATGAAAGCAGACAACTGAATGTGTGATGTTTTTCCGTATCATGGTGGCAGATAACTAAATGAATTAATAATGTGAATGAAAAAACTATAAAAGAAATGTTTATTTTACAGTTTAGGCAGCTTTTGTTTTCAGGATTATGGGGATTACTTTGAGAAAGCACTAGCAACATACCCTCCCGATGTGGAAAATATGTCCTTTAATTTCTGTGCTTTCCTTGATTCTTTGGGAAATCAGGTTTTGTGCTCTATAAAACCAAGAATGCTCTCTATTTCTCAGACTGTAGTCCCTTGGGATATTAATAGGCAATGTTAGTAGGGCCTGCTGATAATTCCTAACAAGTACTTTTTGGAAAGTGCTATGCTAACTAATTCTCATAGCCAAATGCCTATTTTAGTGAGTATGGTTTAGCTATGTTTTCTATACATAAGCCCCTTGTAAGAATATACTGTAATTATTACCTCTGTGCACACTTGATTTTCCCTGTTCTCTGCTTGCTTTTTTCCTGTTATAAGTTTCAGGCTATAGACTTATATTGTTTTAGAAATGCCCTACTATGTCTGTTTGGAAAATAATTAATTTCTCTTTACTTCCCTAGACTCCCTAAAAATAGTGTGTGGCACAGAACACATATAGTGGCTAGAATTACATTGCGTAGGAATTTATGCTACCAAACCTGAAAATTGAAATGTATATGAAAAATCCCAAATAGAGAACCATCTGCCCTAGATATTTAGATCCTAATTTGTTCCCTCCTGTACAGTCAATACTAATAGTCCTTCAATGAAACCTAAAACTACTGCAGTTTGGCATGTAAGAGCAGGAAAAAGCAAACCCTTAGCCCCTGGCTACTGTATGTGTAGTTTGTTACAAGTCGTGGTAGGACTGGGGCCTAAGTAGCATGTCCTCTGTTAGTGTTGACATTCCGCAACCCTAACTCTTGGAATAAAACTTGATAATTTTGCCTATCAAGTATATCAATCCTGATTAATTGATAAGCCAGAGATAGGTTGGTGGAATTAAATGTAAAATAACAATTTCAAGGGGAAAATAATTCCGGGGTATAGGAAAAATATTAAAAGAACCAATATTTCACTTGGAAGTTTACGGTAAGATAAACCGTAGTCTTATTTATAATTAATTTATACAAAGACATTTGCAGGTCCTGCCTAAAATCAGCAGAAATTTCTTGCCAGCCAAGTACTTGTTACCAAACCATAAATTCAATCAAAACTTTCCAAAGTTTATAGTGAATTCATGAATGGAAAAGCCCTTTTAAAATGACAGCACTGAATCCTTTACATGAGAAATAGGTATGACCTGAAATCTTCACAAATTCCCAGATAACATGGATATTCTAGCATATTATTCCCCTATAAGATACATTAATGGAAGTTTTTAAGTGATTCCTTTTGACCTTGATGATTCTATAACTGCAGGATTAAGGTCATTTATAAAACTCTTTTGTGGCTAGGAGCCATCACTTTTTAAAACTTCTTCATATTCTTAGTTTCTGTCACCTGCAGAGTGAGAAAGGTGGTGGGGCCGCCTATAAGTGTGGATGCTGGCTGGTCCCAAGCTCACCTCCTCATGACAGACTGCACGCCTCCCTGGCAGTGCTCACAGTCCTTGTTCACGCTGGAACAGCTACAAGGCACTTCATGACTTGGACATTTTAGTGTCCTACAGGTAGTCAAGTAGCTATACTTTAAAATGTCTGTGCTAATTTTTACTTGAAAAATGTGATTTATTTTTTTTAAAAAAACAACTCTAGACAAGACATGATAAGATGTGGGTTTTCATTTGAGTTCTAGGTCTTATTAGCCCTGTAGCTTCAAGTAGGCCATTTGTTTTCTCTGAGGTTTCATTTTCTCATCTTAAAAATGGGGTATTAATCTTTGGCCTGTTTTACAAGGTGATTGTGAAAACTCAGATAATCATATGTGAGTGCTTTAATTGTCATGAACATTCTTAGATAAAGTGATATTATCACTGCTTGAAGCCCAGAGCAGTATTATAAATAAATAACAGTTCTAGAATGTCTAAAGCATGTTGGTAGTTTTTTACCTTACCTAAAAAACCCACTTGAACCTAGATATATAGACAAAATAGAACTAAAGATGTAGATAAGCCTCCAAACTCCAGAATGGAACTTACCAGCTACTATCAGGTGACCAACCACCTGAAATAATTCTTGGCCTTCCCAGTCTCCCCTTGAGTATCCTTGGTTTTATTTGTACTTACTTTTAAACAGCTAGTCCTTGAAAAAGCTATTCATAGAAAAACCTCTTTTGCAGCTTGTCCTTGATCCTGTTCTTCTTACCCTTCTATTTTAGACCACATTGCGCACATTATAGAGCTGATAGGCAGAATTCCAAGACGCTTTGCCCTCAGTGGGAAATATTCACAGGACTTCTTCAATCGCAGAGGTAGTATTGTTAACATGAGTTTTCATCTAGGCCCAGGGATACAACTTCAGGAAGCAGAGCATTCACACCGAGATTGTTTTTTAGTTATCACTCAAGTCCCACTGGAATGGGCGCCTGATTTTATATGGTTTTCTGGATTCTCCATTAGATGGATAGAGTCCTCTTCTTCCCATTTAGGACAGAAAGCAAACCTGAAATGCTTTACAGAAAGGTGTGCATGCTACTCTTTCTGCCAGTGTCTAGAACTGCGTTTGTTACTCCTGTTATGTATGTCTTTTTTCCCCCCCCTCTTGAAATGTTTGAAACATACAGATCACATTGCATTGATCATAGAACTTCTGGGGAAGGTGCCTCGCAAGCTCATTGTGGCAGGAAAATATTCCAAGGAATTTTTCACCAAAAAAGGTAAAATAAATGTGTTTGTTCCCAGACATTAAGAAGGCAAAGGTGTTTAAAAATGAAGAGGTAAGTACAGCTGGGTACATGTTCCCAACACCTACAGAAGGATGGTCCTGGCTTAAATGTTGAGCTGTGACTTAGCAGAGAGGTGACATAGTGTGGTCATGAGCAGAGACTGGAGCTAGACTGTCTGGGTTGAAATCCCAGCTGCTCTACTAGTTATGTGGTCTTTGACGCAACCTCAGTTTACTGATTTCTAAATGGGGATAATAATAGTGTTTACTTCGTGTTAAATTAGTTACTATGTGTATAATACCTGGCACATAGTTGGTTAATTACTCCAACTACAGCACTTCTAAAAAATGGTCAAATTTTTGCTAGCATTTGGTCTAAGAACTGCCTCTTGATAGGCAAGCAGTTTAGTTTAAGCTTCTTAAGTGCAGGACTACATTTTACTCATCTTGTTAGCCCATTGACACCTAACACAGTCACTTCAACACATCAGTCATATGAATTAACTTTACACTGGGCAGTTTCATAAGTTTATGTTATCACTTATTAGTGAAGGAAACAAAGATAAAACTCTCACCTCAAATTTTTGACTTGATAATATATGGTGGCATATTTAAATATGTATTTCTTAATGCATTCCAAATAAAATTTAAAAGCTGGAATGTGAAAACGTGACCTAGAAGGGACTAGAAAACTGTTAGGCCTTTTTTTCCCTTTTTGCCATGATTCCCTTTTTCCTCACAACCTCTACACTAGTGTTGAGAAAAATCATTTTTCTCAACACTTGACAGCAAGCATCCTCAGAAACATTTCTTAATGTTTCTCTTTTAGGCAGGAAAATGGTGACATGCTTCATAAGAGTTCCTCCTTGTGTGCAAAGTCAGATTAACAGCATGTACAGTGTACAAAGTAGCTCATTAAATAGGCACTCGCTGCCTACAGAAGAGACTTCAAATAATTGTCCTATAAGAACAAATTTTAAAGCAGCATTTACTTAAATAAGCCACTGATAATTGACTATCTTCTTAAAAAATTGTCACTTCAAAGAAGCAAAAATTAGATTGGCGTTCCAGAATAGTACAGACTGTCATGCAGCTGTATCTGAAAGCTGTATGGGGTTTGTTCTTTTGGTTTTGTTGCTTTTATACATATTTTGACATGGTTTTAGCTTTTTACTTTTAAATTACTGCCTCATTTTGAAGCAACATTAGACTGTCAAGCCAAAAAAAAGAGTACAAGCAAATTGTTCTTGGTATGTGGTGATAAACTGCCTCTGAACACCATATGAGACCATGTTCTGTATATAGGCATTTAATCTTCATTTTAGTGAATACCTGGTTCCTGATAGGCCTACCCAATTTGACTGGGACAAAAAATGAGGAATGAGGGAGCAAGCAAATGATCTTAAATTTTTAGGCCCTTGTGAAAAATGGAGACACATCTTTCCAAAGAACGCGTTTGAGAAGAGAGGTGCTTTGTGAATGGAGAATGATTAGATTCCGATGGCAAAATTTGATTCTTTATAGACTACTTGGATTAGTTCCTGATTTCCACAAAAGGATCTTGTCACTTATCAGTGTTGGTCAGTTTCTTTTGTACTCATCTTTACCATAGGTGACCTGAAACACATCACGAAGCTGAAACCCTGGGGCCTTTTTGAGGTTCTAGTGGAGAAGTATGAGTGGTCTCAGGAAGAAGCAGCTGGCTTCACAGATTTCTTACTGCCCATGTTGGAGCTGATCCCTGAGAAGAGAGCCACTGCCGCCGATTGTCTCCGGCACCCTTGGCTCAACTCCTAAGCCCCAGCCCAGCACCGCAGCAGAGATCACATGCTGAGCCTCCTCCCCTCCCCTTCAAGCATTTCCCTCTTCCTTTTTCAGGATGAAGCTCTTCCTTCAAGGGTTTCTAGGTTTTGTTTTGTTGTTTTTTTTTAATCCAACATGTTCATTTGGGTTTGTCTTACTTGACCCTGTGGAGATCCCCCACAGCCATTGGGCATCCTAGGTGAATTTGGCCTTGATTGGGCTCTGCCAAAGACTAATGGACTAAAATGTGAAACAGCCTCTCACCTTGTACCCTTGTCTTTCCACTAGGACATCCTTTAAATTATAAGCATCCTTTTTAAAAAGAGCTATGAAGATGTATGAGCTCATCCTTTTATTCACTGACTCTAAGAGTCAAATTTTTTAGTGCATATTCTCTTGCCAGCATAAGGATGAGGAGGGGAGAGGGCGTCACTTCTGTGTACAGCAGAGACATTAAACTCGCTGTGTCCAGGCTGCATCATCTTCCTGGATTGTTTCTGTTGTCCCCTTTGTTCACATTTTTTCCTGCAACTTTTAAGCTACTATCTTTTTAGCTGAGCTGTATAAACACCAAGTTTGAGTACCTAATTTTATCACTGTTCAAAGCACTGTCAAATTTCTTTCATCCTTTAATAACTCTAAGATCCTTGAATCTTCAGTCTGATTTTTGATGGAAACAAAAACAGAACCATTGACTAGTCATTTCTTCAGAACCACAAATGTTCTGCAAACAGTCCTTTCCTATGTGTCTTCTGTTACCCTAACAGCAGAGTTATTTTGATTATTTGTTTTGTTTTTTATTTTTTGAATCCCTGGCTGGCACTTTACTCATTGCACTTGAGTTTATTGCCCTATTACTAAAGAATTTAGGACTACTCTAGAAGGGAGATCTGGGTTTCAGAGATTTCCCATCTAAGAAGAAAATGTCCTAGAATTCTTGATTCTTTTCCAGTCTCCTACTTTTATTTACAGCTTTTTCTTTACCTTATCCAAAATCTAGCCTTGAAGCCGTTTCCCTCTGTGGCTTTGCCTTGCTCACTTTCTCAGAGGCTTCAGGTCTTAATGAAATCCCAGGATAAAAGAACCAAGGGGAGGGGTGGGATGGCACTTTTTTTCATTGTTGTTTATTTTGAGGGTTTTTTTTTTTTTTTTGGTTTAAAATTTGCCATTCTCTGCTGCTATTTCCTTGTATAATATAAGTTTTTAACTGCAATTTTGAGATGATTGAGATGTACTTGAGGCTTTTTTTTTTTTTTTTTTTTAAAGAGAAAAGGCTTTGTGAATCTTATTTTAGGATGGGCCTCTCCTAGACTTGCCCTAGACATTACATATTCCTCGGGTCGTACTGAAAAGCAAAAACGGGGCAGAATTGGGGTCACAGCCACTTGTTCAGCACGGACCAAGTGGGCCTTGGGGATTACAGCATTCTCCAGAAGCCGCTACAGGACTCTGATTTACAGAAAGCCAAGGAGGTGCAACTTGAGGCTCTACTAGCAAAGCTACCGATGAGACTGTTGGGTAGCCAACTTTCTGTTCGGGAGATTGGAATCTAGATTCTGTCATTTATCCACCAACCATGGCAAAGGAAAAAGTGGTGCAATTATGCAATCCATTTAACTCATAACCCTGAGTAACTATGGCCAGCCACTCATCGAATCCTTGATTGGGTAGTCCTGAAATCAGACATGTTCTTCCTGTAGAAAGAATTTTAAGTGAGGCTCTCTATGCACCTATCAAGAATAAAGAGAACAGATTGTATCAAACAACGGCAGGGAAAATCCTTCAGCAATTCTGATCCACTTTGGGTTTTCAATTATATATATATCTAAAGCAATAGCAGACTAGAACTGAATTCTTTTCTATACTATGAAATCACAATTGTGGAATTATAAGAATTCTGGTGATGATATTAATGTGAAATAACCAAAACACACACACACAAATAGAAGGCCCCACTTGAACAATTGACATGATAAATTTTAATTAGCGAGAACCTGTAACTTCATTTTGGAAATGCTTCCCCACCAAATAAGGGCTTTTCCTCCTATCATTTAAAGACCAGATGAATTAGAAGCCGTAGAAAGAGGCAGCTGTAGAATTTGATCTTCCAAGTACCCCATGGCCTTTATTGAATTTAATCATAATACTGTCAAATTGCCGTGATCTCACTAAAGGATTTCTATTTGCTGTCAGTTAAAAATAAAACACTGAATACATTTTTATTCTTTCTACTGGGTGCATTGTCTGTTTTCTTTGTAAATGCAGTACAATAAACAAATTATTTAATAACCTACATGTTTCCAGAAGCTTTCTGTTCATTTGTTGCCCAGGTTGGTCTGCCCGGAGATTCAGAATGGAGAAAAGCATTGGTTGAGTATGTTTTTTGAACTTAAATATGCGATGAAACTGTACAATTGAACACATGCCATTTTGTGGGGTTTGTAGCTTTGCTTCTATCTTTAAATTGAGGGTGGGGCGGGATTGACAAAGTACATTTTGGAAAATTCTAAGAAAATTGTTATTCCCTACATCTGATAGCATTTTCCCCGAATATTTGCGGTGTATTTTTTTCCTCAGATTACAATTGCAGTATATGCAAAATGCCAAAGATATGTGAACTCTGACTAAGGCACTGGCATGATGAACACTATTGTACACAGCTTTTCATACACTTGTCTCATTCACTCCTTGGGATAAATTCTTAGAAAGGGAAAGGCTGGGCCAAAGAGTAAGCACATTTTTAAGGCTTCTAATAAATGTAACCTAACTTAAGGGGAGAACAGTTGGGACTGTTTCGCTGTGACCAGCAGTGTTTGAATGGGCCTGTTGTAATCTCACCTGTTTTATTCCTAATAACCAATTTGATTGCCAAAACAAGGGAGTGTCTTGTTTTAATTTGTGTATTGGGATGACTAGTGAAGTCAGAAATTTGTTTCATGGGTTTTATTGGTCATTTGTATTTTTTGGCTATTTGCCTGTGTAACTCAGCTTTCTTTTGGTGCGCTCCCCTATTTTATGATTTGGTAAGGATTTGTTATACATTAAAGGTAATCCATTTTTGTCATTTTTCATCACTCTTCCAGTTTTTAATTTGCCGTTTGTTTTTATTTGTGGTATTTTTTAGTGTTACTCATAGAAAGTCCTTTCCCACCTCTGAACTACATAAACTGTTCTAGTTCATTTGTTTTAATTGTGGCATACTTAAGACATAGAGTGTGTTCATATTGTAGTGTTGACCAGATGTAACCTGTTTAAAAAACAATCTAAAAAAATTAAATTGGAATTCATCAGTATGTTCACCAGACTGACCAATCTAGGCAGCCCCTCTAAGACTTGTGTTAAATATATGGACCTAGAACTTGGAGGGTTTGGGAAAACTTAAGTGCTGTCCCAGGAGAGCTTGTAGCTACCTGAAAAGAATTAGCCATCTGTGGTGGAGTTGCAACCCCACCTTGAACTCTTGATTTGCCCTGAGTGTCCGCAGGGAAACCATTACCTGCTCCAGAGCAGGCCCAGTTTACAAATGGACTTGATTACTGCCCATTCTTTTATTTTTGAAGCCTGTAGAGTCATCCAGTTTGGCCTTATCAGGAAAGTGATTTGCTCTTAGACTACTGTATCACAGAAAATCGGTGATTTATTAATAATAGAATCTAAACTTATATTTGCTCCAAAAGTAAGGGCTTATGACACCAGAGAAACTTGAATAGTTCTTTGTTTTGCCCACCAATTTGGTGCCTTTGGAGTTAGCAAGGCAGTGGTAACGTAGACCTCTTTCACAGTCTTCAAAACAATATATAAAGATAAGTATGTAAATTTATATAAAGATAACTTGAGACCTACTGAGGAGGAAGTTTGTTTTTATGTCACTGCAGTCTTGTTTTTAAAAGTTGGAATTTGTTTTGTTTTGTTTTGTTTTGCTGAGGAAGATTCACCCTGAGCTAACATTCGCTGCCAATCTTCCTCTTTTTGTATGTGAGCCGCCACCACAGCATGGCCACTGACAGAGGTGTGGTGTAGGTCTGCGCCCGGGGAACCGAACCTGGGCCACTGAAGCAGAGAGCACTGAACTTAACCACTAGGCCACCAGGGCTGGCCCTAAAAGTTGGAATTTAAAAACTACATGGTATGATATGCATTTGTCTTTAAGTCCTTGCACAAATATTAATCCACACCAAGTCCTGAGATATCAGAAATATGCCAATTAAAAAGCCAGAAAATTGAGATCATGTTAAGTGTTTAAAAGTTTTGATCAAGTAATTGAGCAAATTTACATTAGTACCTAGTTCTGTTACTGACTGCACCATTCCTTGTAAGGGGAGAAGAAAAAGAAGGATTACGAAGGGCCGGCCCTGTGGCTTGGTGGTTAAGTGCGCGCGCTGCGATGCTGGCGGCCCGGGTTCGGATCCCGGGTGCGCATCGAGGCACCACTTCTCCGTTCATCCTGAGGCCGAGTCCCACATACAGCAACTAGAAGGATGTGCAGCTACGACACACAACTATCCACTGGGGCTTTGGGGGGAAAAAATAAAATAAATAAAATCTTTAAAAAAAAAAAAATAAAGAAACAGCAGCAAAGGATAAAATAGTGTTTAAAAAAAAAAAAAAAGGGGAGAAGAGTTTTTAATACATAGATCAATTTGATTTTATATCCTCCCAAGTTCACTTTTTATCATAATCTTCTCTTTTGTCCTTAATTCAGATCTATTTTTGCCCATTTAATACAATAACAAGCCTTGCCCTCCATTTGGCGGAACTGGACTGTGTACAGAAGTGCATCAGCTGCCTGCAATTTGAGTGATGTTCTTAGAAGCTGTGCCCTTCAGGTACTGCATTGGCTGCTTTGGATTTGCTAAATATAAAGGAAAGTATGGTTAATGTTGGGAGGTTAGTGGACCCTACTATAAATTCCCTTGAGGTTAGATGACCAAAGTGCGATGAGTTTTGAGGTTTAGGGCCCTTTCATCTAACGCAGCTTAGTACAAAACAGACATGTATCCATCAGCATGTAAGGTTACTAGAATCTAGTCTTTGTTCCAGTAAAGCATTGTGGTAAATGCCCATTTCAGCAGAAAATTAATTATGAAGAAGTAAGAAAAACCACTTTTAAAAGAACCCTAATGATTCCCACCTCCTGGTATTCAGGCACTTACGTAGTCTAATCACCTTGAATGTCAGCTGGCCTTAGTGACTGTTCTAACAATCAAATTAGCACAGAAGTGACAATGTCACTTCTGAGATTGGGTTACAAAGTGGCTGTGGCTTCTGTAGGTGCCCCCTCTTGCTGTGTCTTGGAACCCTTGCCCTGGGGAAGCACGCGGCCATATGAGTAGCCCTATGGAGAGGCCTGCAGCCAGCGGGGAACTCAGGCACTCAGTACCACATCCTGTGAGAAACTGAGTCCTGCACACAACCACTGAGCTTGGAAGCAGATCCAACACCTTAATTGCAGCCCTGTGAGAAACCTTCAGGCAGAGACACTTAGCTAAGCCTTGCCGGATTCCCAACCCACTGACTGAAATGTAAGCCACTGAGTTCTGGTAATTTGTTATGCAGCTATAGGTAGCTAAAACAGGGATGCAAGATAGCATTTAGGATATCCTTCCAGTTCACCTTTCAGATATAAATGACTGGTCCCTCTCTTAATCATATCTGCTCAGGGCTAGTCATGGTCGGTGAAGCTTGGGTATCACAACCATCCCTAAGCCCCAGCCTAAGGCAGAGGCAAGCCAGAAGTGAGGAAGGAATAAAGCAACTTGGTTAGAGTGCTGATTTTATTGATTTTCTATATACTTTCAAAGATAAGATTCGAAGTGCCTTTAAAAATTTATTTAAAGGTAAAGCCACTTGAAAAGAGCTGATAAGCAGTTACTAGGTATCAATCAAAATCATTACTATTATTGAAGAGGTTGAATTCTGAGTTTCCTTGAAGATAGAGCAGGTGAAATATTGGGTCCTATGACTCACAAACAGATTTGCAGATCCTTCCCCAGCGCTGCTCACGGGTAAACATGGACTCCTGCTTTGGTGAAACTGTTCCTGGCAAGAGTAAGGTACAGGCTGTTGCCAGGTGCACCTTAAGCCCTCCAGAAGCTTCTGTGGACCACCATAGTTGCCATTTCATTGAGAAATATTTTGAAGGTAGAGAGGCTTTTAGAAATTTTTCTTTTGCCTCTTATAGAAAGTAAAATTAGGAGAAATGAATAAGTATAACTAGAAAAGTCAGTAAGCTACAGAATTTGTCAAATTCTGTCATTCATCAAGCTTGCATAAAGTAGGTGCCTGACTCTGAAATAATTTTATCAGCACACGAAAAATATGTGATCGTTCTTAGATCTCATTCTGATGGTTCCCATCGCCAACAACTGGGACAATGCTGGATGCTCAGCCCTAGCCCATCTGAACTGGAGAAGAAGCACTGCACTGACTGGGCAGGTTGGCAGAGTGCCTTAGTTAAAAAGCATGCCCTACAGCCCAGGAAGAAGAAACCTACCGTTTCTCACGTCACTGCTGCTTGATCAAGCAATGACAAGATCCATCACAGTTTTGTTCAGCATTCAGCCCGTCCTGTGCGAGTTAGCACCCACATTTTTCTCTTTACTGAGTAACTAAATGGACAAAGACCAGAAAAAACACCCGTTCTTCAGAATCATTCACTGCAGATAACAAAACCTTGTTTCCATGTACCATCCCCCAAGCAGGGAACAGCCTAAAGAACCTATCTTTATCTTGGCATTTGCCGCAATGAGATATTACCTAAATTGAGTTCCCTTCTGGAGGCTGGCAAAAGATTCACCATTTAGTGTGCCAAATCCAAAGTTCTTTACAAGAAATGTCAAATATTACTATAACAAATTACTTGGACACAAGTAACAAATTTCTGAAGCTGGTAGCCCGTTCTGATTGAGTCAGTGTGGGCACTATGAAGAACTGGGATTTTTGGTTCCAAAGGGAAAAAAGGCCCTTTCAGAGCTGGGTGGCAGTTTCCAGTGTGCCTCCAAATGAGTATATCCTCAGTTAATTAGACTATTGGAGACTCAGACCTGGGAGGGCCCTAGACATGGACTCATTCAGCCCTCATTTTCCAGAGGAGAGACCTTGGGAAGGTAAAGTAATTTGCTGGTGTGAAGGGATGGAGAGAGAACTTGAGTCCCCAGTCAGGAGAGTACCATCCATGTCTCTCTGAATATCTTTCATGTGGTCACTGCAGTTCTCCTTCACCTGAAAGGATTTTCTATATACAGTGGGAGGTTTTGTCTCAGGAGACTGTCAGGTTCCAATCCTATAAAGAAAGGCTTCAGGACTTCAGGCCTATAGTAGTCAGGGACAGGGAAGCTTGGAAGGAACAAATTTTTATCCCTGAAGAATTCCCTAATTTTCCATTGTCAGCGAAATAGATGACCTGTGGTATTAAAAAAACAATAAAAGATCACAAGATTATAAAACTTCACATTTTTAAAAGCCAATAAAAACAAAAAACTTCCCCATGTATGCTCACGTTTTAATTCAGCTCTACCCAGACAAGCAAACTTCCTCATTTATTGTATAAGATAATATGCAAGGTCCCTCAAGTAAAAATTCATAAACGCCTTTTAAAATGTAAATAAAACGTAGTGCAATAAAAGAAAAAGAAAAAAGCAGACATAGAGGTGTAGTGACCTTTGATTCAGTAATTCCACTCCAGAATTTCTCAACAGAAGCAAGAAGTTATTATCTATGATAGCAATCCCAAATGGCTAATAATCAAGGTCTGGTTTAGCAATTAAATGGCACACCAATGCTGTGGAGTTTGCGGCTTTTAGAAACCTTAATAATGAACGTTGCAAAAACATGAGAAAACGTTTCTACTCTAATAGTTTGCTCCTCAGAGTATGACCCCTGCTGCGGCATCCATCACTGGGGCGCTGGTTAGAAACAGTGTCTGGCCCCACTCCCACTGAATCAGAATCTGCATTTCAACAAGATTCCCAGGTGACTTGTGTGCATATTAAATTTTGAGAATCATCTAATAAGTGGGGGGGGCAAAGCTAATTTATAATTATTCAAAAAAGTATATCTATGGGGTCAAGGATAGGAAGGTAAAATTTAAAAACAGTTTCAATGGTGATAATCCCTCCTACCCACACGAAGTGGCCGGCCCACTGTAGGTCCTCAGCAAATGGCAGCTCTCAGTGAGGTGGTTCTGTTACGGGCTTTTCTTTTTTTCTTTTTGTAATATATTGCTTAATGTTCTTGTTAAATTACATTTTGAAAACTTAAAAGACCACAGAGAAATTAATATGTTGTGCTTCCTTTTCAACCAGACATTAAAACTGGTTAAATCGTGTTTTTCTTTTTGCCTCAGCTATCAGCAAGCGTAGAGCTAAATTTAATACTCAATACAGTAATTCTATTAGCCTAGCTTTCCAGAATATTTGTTTCCCTCTCTGTGACTTTTATTTTCTATTTTATTAGGTTTTCTAGTATGTTTCTTACAAATCACTTAAAATTCTTTCTGAAAATAAGGGTCCAGATTACAATAATGACTTCTAAAAACAGTCTGTTCTTGTTTGCCAGGCCCCACTTGCCCATTTTAAGTTATTTCTTCCCTCCCTGTTCTTTTTCCACTTCTCAAGACACAGTAAAGCTAAAGGGTTCCTGTTTGCCCCTCAGTGAAGGTCTCGGACACGGGCTAGCTTCTCGGACACTGCTCCCGGTCGCTGCTGCTCTCTCCCCAGGCACACCCTATCGCAGCCCCTACAGCCCAGCCCCATGAGTCATTTCACCCGAAGATTCGATAAGGAAGCAGAGCAGCCATAGCCCTTCCAAAGGCAGCAGACCACCTTCCAGTGGAATTACTCACCGACCCATCAGCTGCTTCAGACTTCCTCTGCAATGAAAAAGAGAGAGAACAGTGTTTGTTTACATCCAAGCCTTGTTTTCAGGATAATTCCCTGCCCACTACTTCCTCTCCAGACTAGATCAAATTCCTCTTATTCACTCTCAAGAAAGCTTGCACTTTTTGTTCCTAACGTTTATCAGCTCGTAATTCCATGTGGCACGATTGTCTCCCTTACCAGACCGTAAGGTCCAATTTAGATTCTTCCCTCACCACTGTACCCCCGGTGCCTAAAGGTGTCTCTGGGCAGCTGGAGCGCAGGAGCTGTTACCGGTTGGGCAGATGGATGATGTAAAAAGTGGAGATACCGGAAAGACAGAAGGGGGAGAGAACTAATACTTATTAACCACCTATAATATGCAGGCATTGTTAGTTCTTTATATACTCTATCTATATAATCTGCAGCACAATCTTAATTTTATTGATATAACTCATTAACATAAAATTTACTTGTTCAAAGTATCCAAGTCAGTGGTTTTTAGTATATTCACTAGGTTGTGCAAACATCACTGCTATCTAATTCTAGAACATTTTCATCACCCCAAAAAGAAACCTTGTGCCCATTAGGAATCACTCCCAATTCCCTCCTCTTCCCAGCCTCAGGCAACTACTAAAATCTACTTTCTGTCTCTATGGATTTGCCTATTCTGAACATTTTATATAAATGGGATCATACAATATATGGTCTTTTGTGTCTGGCTTCTTTCACTTAACATAATATTTTCAAGATGTATCCACATCGTAACAATGATCAATGCTTCATTCCTTTTTATGACTGACTAACATTCCATTGTATGGATATAGACATTTTGTTTATCCAGTCATCAGTTGATGCACATTTGGGTTGTTTCCACTTTTTAGCTATTATGTTGCTATGAATATTTGTGTACAAGTTTTTGTGTGAACGTATGTTTTCAATTTTTTTGCACATATACCTGGGAGTGGACATGGTAACTCTGTTTAACAGTTTGAGGAACTGCCATTCTATTTTCCACAGCAACTGCACAATTTTACACTTTCACTAGCAGTGTATGAGGGTTTCAATTTCTCCTTATGCTCACCAACACTTGTTGTTGTTCATCTTTTTTATTATAGCCATCCTAGTGGCTATAATTTGCATTTTCCTAATGACTAATGATATTGAGTATCTTTACATGTGCTTATTGGCTATTTGTATATCTTCTTTGGAAAAATGTCTATTCAATTTTTTGCACATTTTAAAAATTGGGTTATTTGTATTTTTGTTGTATTTGTATTGAGTTGTAGGAGTTCCTAAATATTCTGGACACTAGAATTATGATTATTATTTGCAAATATTTTCTCCCAATCTGTAGGTTGTCTTTTCACTCTCTTGATGGTATCCTTTGAAGCACAAAAGTTTTCAATTTTGATGAAATCCAATTTATCTATTTTTTTCTTTGGTTCCATGTATATTAGGTGTCATATCTAAGAAACCATTGCCTAATCCAAGGTCACGAAGACTTACACCTATGTTTTCTTCCAAGAGTTTTATAATTTTATATCTTACACCTAGGTCTTGGATCCATTTTGAATTAAGTTTTGTATATGATATGAGGTGGGCCGTCTAACTTCATTCTGTTGCATGTAGATATCTCCTTGTTCCAGCACCAGTTATGAAAAGACTGTCTTTCCCTCATTGAATGGTCTTGGCACCCTTGTTGAAAATCAATTGGCCACGGACCTTTGGGTTTATTTCTGGACTCTCAATTTTATTCCATTGATCTGTATGTCTATCCTTATGCCAGTACCACACCATCCTGATTACTGTAGCTTTGTAGTAAGTTTTAAAATCAAGACATGTGCATCCTCCAACTTTGTTCTTCTTCTTCAAGAGTATTTTGGCTATTGTGGGTCCCTGTATTTCCACATGAATTTTAGGATCAGCTTGTCAATTTCTGTAAAAAGCCAGCTGGAATTTTGATAGGGATTGCATTAATGCTGTAGATCAGTTTGGGGAGTATTGCCATCTTAATATTAAGTCTTCTGATCCACAACCATGGATGTTTCCATTTATTTAGGCCTTTAATTTCTTTCAATAATGTTTTTAAATTTTCATGTGCAAATCTTGCACTTCTTTTGTTAAATTTATTTCTAAGTATTTTATTCTTTTTGATGCTAATGTAAATGTTTTCTTAATGTCATTTTCAGGTTGTTAATTGCTGGTGTATATAATTACAGTAGATTTTTGTATATTTCTCTTATATCGTGCAACCTTGCTGAAGTTGTATATTAGCTTTAATAGTTTTTTAGTGGATTATTTAGAATTTTCCATATACAGAAACCTTGTAATCTGCTAATAGAGATAGTTTTACTTCTTCCTCTCCAAACTGGATTTCTTTTATTTCTTTTTCTTGCTTAATTGCTGTGGCTATACCCTTCAGTACAATCTTCAATAGAAGTGACAAGAGCAGGCATCCTAATCTTGTTCCTACAATCTTTTTAAGTAGGTATTTTTTACAAATGAGGAAAAATCTGCCTCCTACTGTCATGGAAATGAGGCTCAGATGAGGAAATTGAGACTCAGAGAAGTTAAGTAACTTCTGCAAAGTCACACAGCTAGTTAATAATGGAGCCAAAATTTTAAACCCAGTTCCGACTCCAAAGCCCATACTCATTCTCCTCTGCCTCCTTAACCCCTAAGGAGTGGATCAGCAACTACGTGCTTGTGCAAGGCTTCATTTCTGCTTTCACTGTTTCATTCATGCCACACAATAATGGAGGTGGCAGAGCAGAGATTAGTGTCTCTCTTTTTACTGGAAAGAACACTGAAGACTTGGAAGAACTAGGACTCAAACTCTGCTCTCCTCACCCAATTTTGTGCTTTGACGGAAGCAATAACTACTTCATTGAATAGTTAGATGCATTCAGAAAGGTTATGTGGTTGCTTCCTAACAGGTAATAAACAAAAAGGATAAATTAAATCCTGTATGATAGTGAGGGACTCAAGTATGGGGAGTAAAAATCTGAAAAGAATGAGGACAAGGTGCATGGGCTATGAAAGGAGAGGTACAAGGCAGGAGAGGAAAGTGAACCAACATTTTGATTAGTAAAGAAAATGTCAAAGGAACAAAACCATCTCTTTATAAGAAAGCACTTTAAAGAAGAATTATGTGAATAAAGTTTCTTTCTGCCTAAGACAATCCCTTCTGAAAAAGAAAAAATGCAAATGGGTAATATAAAAATGCTGTGTGCATGTGTCCAGACAGATTTAAGGGTGGCCTTGCCCTGAGGCTGAGAGCCAGACAGAAATCCTCCAGCAGCTCCGCTGAGGCCTCCCTGGAAAACCACCCTCGCTGTGGAAAGTGCTGGTTGTGCAGACTGCTGCTGGAATCCCACCTCCAACCTTTCCTCACAGGGTTGCTGTGAGGATTAAATAAAACTGGCCCCTATGAACAAAGCTTACATCACTCCTGCACGTGGAAGAGGCTCAGTAAATATTAGTTCCATTTCCCTTCCTTTATGGGGTCCTCAAGGGACCCAGGCCCTAAGCATTCCCAGGGCCCAGTAGCTATAGGAATCTGCAATGGGAAGATCTCTCTCTCTTCTCTCCTCCTTGGCCCAGCTCATTCTAGTAATTTGGTTTCCATCTTTAACCACATATCTAAGGTGCATGAATCTCTCTTCTTCCACATCCAAAGAAGGGTGAGATGTTCTGATTACTTCCCTACGGAGAAGGGGACTCTGGGCTGAGCCAGAGGAGATCTGTGTTCTGGGGTCCTCTTTGCCACCACCTTTCTCTGTACCTCTGGGTGGGTCTCCCCTCTGGGCTTCAAGTTCCTCATCTGGGAAGGGTCCTTGGTCACAGGGGACAAAGGAGTTTGGCTGTTTCTTCTAGTTCAGGTCAACAGTGTGATATGAAGACACCTATGGGGAAAGGAGACTGGAGAGGTCTCTGAGATGCAACAGGCCCCTCATAGTGGCCACCTGCTGGAAGTAAGCATTTTGGGATTCAAAAGGGTGTGAGACAGGCCTTGCTCTATGACTAAGAGATGAAATTCATCCACTGAAAAAGTTAGTCCCTCAAGACAGACAGGGGAAGAGCCTAATGAGAGACAGGAACAGGAAGTACCCTAGTTGAAAGGGAGCTCAATGGGATGCAGTCAGATAAGACTTCCTGAAGGGTCCACCTGGGCCTCAAGGGTCAGCTACAATGACTTTTATGACTGGGGGGCAAGATTTGGATGAGAAGAAATTGAAACAGGATGGACATACGGAGAACCCCAAGGCTATCTTAACCCAGGGGAGCTCAGGCACCCACTATGTGCACTCCTGGAGTGCACTCCTTTCTCCTCCTGCCCCAACAACCCATCCCCCTGCTCCCCTGTTCCTCTCTACACCCAGCAAACTCCCAGTGCTCTCCAAGACCCAGCCTCAGCACAGCCTCTATGGGAGGCCATGCTCAGCTCCCCAGGCTGGATCAGAGCTCTCTCCCCTAGACCCTGAGAGTGCAGGGGGGCAGGAGGACACTGTTCTACCACAGCCTCTTGCCACACACATCTGTCATCGCCTCATCTCTTGCCAGCCTGCAATCCTCCATTGGCCTTTGGCCTCTGGGACAAGGGCTGGGTCTGATTGGTCTTTATGTGCCCAGCCCTTGGCCAGGGGCCAATCGTCGGGTGACTGGCTGGGAGGAAGCCCTACCTCTCTAGGCGAGGGCGAGTTACCTTTGCCATCCGCCTTGTAGTCATCAGGGAGGAGCTTGTCCTGCCGGTAGCCCAGCACGAAGGCCAAGAAGGAGAGAATGAGGGCGTCTCCGATGCTGAGGATGGCCAGCATGAAGGCCCAGCGGATGGTGCAGCGGCCCAGGGTGTACTTGCCTGTCTGCTCCCCGCACATGCGCCGCACCTCACTTGAGTCCCACCCGTCCGGGTACACCAGGCAGCCAATCATCAGGCCTGTGGCTGGGAGAGGAGGGGGTGTGCAGATGGTGTCAGCTGGGTGTGCTCAGCACCGCTGTCATCTTTTCCCTCCCTCCTCCTGGTGTTCACCTTGAGAGGCACGGGGGCAGCTCCTACCATCCTTGTAGAACACAGGGGAGAAAACTGAGGCTCCCAGAGCTAACGCGACTTGGCCCTGGGAGCCAGAGGTCAGGGGCACAGACAGAGTGCAGGGGTCCTCAGCCCAGGGAGGGTTCTGCCACTGCGCCAGGGGGTCCTACCAGGCCCTCAGCTGCGCCCCTCACTTTGGACTTGACGAGGCACTGCCTACCCTGTCTTCAAAGCCCTCCTAAATCTGCTCCCGACCCAGAGAACTCATCACTCCTAGGATGTACATTTGTTCATATTTCAACATCTCTGACATAAGTGTAATAAGAAAGCTTCAGGCCATAGTTCGATTAGAAGTACTCTTCCTTTTCACAGCACATAGAATAATGGTGTGTCCTACAACTCAGGTACCTTAGATTCAACAACACAGGAAGTTTTCTAGTCCCATCTCTGGCTGCTTCCTTCATGAACTTTCCATTCAAGTTAACAGGTCTCCTCACCCAGTTCAGCACACTGCAGTTGCCCACACTTCCCTGAATTTAAGAATCCCCTGAAATATTGGGTTAGAATGCTGATTCCCAGGTCAGGGTTGGGCTCAGGACCCCCTGTTTTTTAAAGTGGGTGGGGAGGTGATTCCAGATGATTCTCTCAATACGAAAAGCTGGGAAACACTAGAGCAGGCTGCCTGGACTTTAAGCCCAGGTCTTTAACTAGCTGTGTGGGTCACGACAAGCTACGTAAGCTTTTTTTTTGCCTCAGTTTCCTCATCTCATAAAATGGGGATAATAACAGTACCTACCTGCTGGGTTGGAGTGAGGTTCGAATGAGTTACTATTAGAAAGTGCTCAGAACAGTGCCTGGCACATACTTGGCACTTCATGAGTGTGGGCTACTATTATTCCATCCTGTGCCTTCACTGACTTAGTATTTACAGCTACAAATTCCATTTTGCCCACCTTCCCCCCACTTCTCCCATACTCTCCCAGCAAGCCACCACCGCACTTTAGCTGCACAGCCAGGTGCCATAATCCTCGAATGTGACCGGGGCGACCCCAAGCACAACCACCATGCAGGCTGGGGGTGCCTTCCCTTATCTGTGCCACTTTCCCACCCCTGGCCCTCCTTCCACAGGCTCTTTAGTCCCAAGGCTGTGCCCACTAGGAGCTCCTCAGAGAAGCACCTCGCAGAACCCAGCTTAGCTTGTTCTTGCAAGGAAGGTCAGCAGATCAAACAAATGCATGGTAAAAATCAGGGTCCCACCTCCCCACCTAAAATGTGTCAACCCTCCTTTGATTTTTTTATAGGAGGAACTCATTTATCTCGTTATTTATAGACCACAAAATACTTCATATACCATTTTTCTTTTGATGCTGACAACAATTCTGTGAAATAGGCCATATACTAATATCCCATTTTACAGATTAGAAAACTGAGGCCTCAGAGAAACCAAGTGACTTGCTCAGTCATCCAGCTATGGCAGAGCCAAGACCTCAACTCACAGCTCCTGACTTTCTTGACTTCAAAGTTAATTGCCCCTAGTCCCAGACTGTGGCATCTCTCCAAAGAGCTGAATGTATTTAGTGGTGACATTTCAGACTTAATGACAAACTGAGAAGTGCTTCAGGAAGATACTGAGGGTAGAGGAGGGGGTACCTTCCCAGAGCTCTTTGGTAAAATCCGTGGCCTGCGCCACTTGGTATGAGACCAGCTCTTTGGTGCCTGGCATGGGCCCAACTTAATGGAGGAGGGGGCACAAATGCTGGGTGCATAGGTGAATGTGGACAGGGGCTGCCCTTCTGGACTTTATGTTCTCCCCATGGCTCCTCCCATTGGCCCCCTTCCCCTTCCAAAGCCTCTCCCTATGGGGACTCCAGAAAAGAACTCAGAGCCTCTGGCTTGGAAACAGGTTGTTACTCTGGATGCGAGAGCCCTCTGTGAGCCCCTACCCATCCACCTGGGCACAGGGAGGTCAACCCCATTTGTAGTGTCTCAGGGCTCTAAGTATAGGCCAACATGGCATTCTCAGACAAGCTTACTTACCTTTTCTGACTTCCATTCTCTCATCTGTAAAAGAAGAATAATAATACCTGACTCATAGCAGGCCTATCAGGATGAAGTGGGATCATGTATAGAAAATGCTTACTGCAGTGTCTGGTCCATGGTAATGTTAGTTGTTGCTATTATTATAGGCAGTGGAGTCAGATGGAAGCAACCTCAGTGGATGTGGATGTCATTAGAGCTGTTGACAAATATTCCAGGTACATAGTAGGATTATACCTCCTTGCCCCCCTCCTTTGAAATTAAGCAAGGCCATAAGACTTCCTTTGGCCAATAAACTGTGAGCAGAAATGTCGTGTGCATTTCCAGGCCAGAGCATTGAACTGCTGGTGGGAGACCTTCCAGAGCTCCCTTTCCCTCTGCAATGATGACAGGCAGATGACAGCTGATGCTCCATCAGCCTGGGTTCCAGAAGAGAACAGTGAGAGCAGAGCCCCCAACTGATCCTCAATGAGCGTGTACCACAAGCAAGAAGTAAACCTGTGTGTTAAGCCACTAAGATTTGGGAGGTTTTGTTACTGTGGCATCACCTCACCCATCCTGACTGATAAAGTTGTTTTTTGTGTTTTTCACATTTACTGAGTACCTACCATGTGTCAGGCACTGTGCAAGGTGTCTTACATGCAATATATCATCCCATCCTCACAAGAACGCTGTGATAGTGGATATTGTTGCTAGAGTCTATAGATGAGGTTACCAAGGCTCAGCGAGACAAGCAGTTTGTGCTACCTGTGTTTCTAGGAGCTGGGACCACACTTGGCCTACACCTGGCATCTAGAAGCTCAATTAATATTGTTAAGCCACAGCCTCACGCTGCCCCAGTCATCAGTTGTCTTTGCTCCCTTCCCTCGTCCCAGGCTTCTTGGCAAGGTTAAGCTAACTGGTTTAGGCCTCTTCGGATAGATGCATCTCCCAGCTGCTGGCTGCAGGGTATCCCCCATCCCTCCCTTTGGCTCATCTTCCCTTCCCCAGCACTGAAGAATGGAATGAGACACCACCTTCCTCTCCCTCAACATAAATGTTTCATGGGATGGCACCTGGCCACCTCTGCTATCAGTGTCTCTAGCTTCATGACCCAGACAGGGTCTGACTCAGATGGCCTGGTGAACCCCTCCCCCACCCAGACCCCCCAGCACTGCCTGTTCAGCATATGGCACCTGTTGCGGGAGGTTGGGGGAGGAGGACAGTGTGGAGAATGAGAGAGGGATAGTTGTGTTTCCAGCATCTTATAACTCTGATATGGAGAGCCAGCTGGCAAGCATGCCAGGGTCCATTCTACTCCTCTTTGTCACAAAACTGCTAAATCTTTATTTCCCCTTCTTTCTCCCCACTGCCCACCAAGATTTGCCTCTCCCCTGCCCCAGCTTCTCCCTCATCACAGAGAGGCTACAGAGGAGAGGGAGATGGCGGGGGGATTTGGGAGGCAGCTCTGGAGCCAGGTGAGTAGCCTGGATACATGATTTGGAATCTGTCCCTCACTACCTGTGCGCTCAGAAACAAGTTACCCACTAGGAGCCTTAACTGTAAAATGGGAGGAATACCCACCTCACTGGGTCGTGATGAGGCTCCTCCAGATGATACATGTGAAGGTACTTTGCAAACACTTATGTAAAAGTATTTTATGTAATACTTACATACTTATGTAAATGTGTGGCTCAATAAAAATGTCTTTGGAATACATCCAGTTTCTTGGAACCCACTGCCTTAATTCTCCTAGGTCCTTCATTGCCAGGTGATCTGCTATAGCCTTGGCCAAGTCTTATCCTCTCTCTCAGCCCCAGATTCCTCACCTATAGTTGGGTGAGGGGGCCTAGCTCTCTGTGGTCTCTCCAACTCTGACAGAGTCTTGAGTCTATGCATTTGGTTAGTTGTCTGGGATTCTGAACCCTGTGTTATTCCCCTTGCTAAGGATAACACTGCTCCTCGTTCTAACCAATGATGTCAAGATGGTTTCACTCTAGTCTGCAGTGTCTGACTGCTCCTGGACATCTCCTCAGTATGGAGAGTCTGTGTGCAGTCCTTAGGGTGCGGAGGGACCAAGGGTTGCAGGACAAGGTCTCAGGCCCTCTCTTCCTGGTTTCTAAAGGAGAGCAGGACCAGCTGGCTCAAGGACTGAGAGGCCAGCTTGGTCCAGTGGCAGGGAAAAGGAGCAGGCAAGGCCTTGCCTCTGGGCACCACCACAAGTAGCCACCTAAGCCATACAATTTTAAAAGACCCTAGATGCCCCTGCACCATAACAAAATATCACTCGCCATTTGCTGCCTCATGTATGGAATCCTACAATTAGGGAACAAAGACTTTCAATCCACAATGAAAGAGAGAACTTAAATGCAGGTTTCTACGGGAGAGGTCACACCCAGCATAACTCTCCAAATCAATGACTGACCTTAGAATCTTCCCTGAGAGCAGTTAGGGATGGAAGGGAGTGATGACAGGGATCTGGGGATCCTTAAAGGAGAAAGAACAAATGTTCAGAAGTGGGAGATTTGAACATCTAGAATGTGCTTGACTAGCATCACTATTTTGCCTCAGGGTTGGGTGCTATTCCCACATGGCTGACGATGGAAGCTTCCTTCTTTCTCCCTCCCAGAGCAGCAAGAAGCTCTGCTGTGGTGGCATGGGAGTCAGGATACCTGATTTTTTCTCTACCAGCTAGCTGTGTGCTCCTGGGCAAGTCACTTTCCCTCTCTGGACCTCAGTTCCTCATATGCAAGATGAAGGGGTTGAATAATTTGATCTCTAAGGTCCTTTTGGCCTTAGACATTCTAAGATTCTCTACTCCTCAGAAGAATTCCGCAGAGCATTGAGTAGGGCTGGGCTAAAGGATGACAGCCGAGTAGGCGGCCCAGGGCATCCACAGAGGGTGGGAAGGGGTGGGCCCCTGCCTGCCCTCCCACTATCCCTGCTCACCGGCAGCCAGCTGCATCCATGCGCAGATCTTGTAGACAGTGGCTGTGTTGCAGACAAAGAACAGGCTGAAGCAGATGATGGAGCCAATGATGAGGAACATGGCCAAGGCCACGAAGAACATGGCAGTCTTGAAGGCTCTGGAGGGGATGGAGGAGAAGTCCAGCGGGCCACCCTTGCAGATGAGCTCGGAGGACAGCACGTTGCCCACACAGTAGGAGAAAAGGCCAAAGTAGCCTGCCTGGGGTGTGTTGACGCTGTCGCCGATCCAGTAAGGCTGGATGAAGAGGGCCATGACGAGCACGGAGAAGCAGATGGTGAGCGTGCCCCACATCACACCTACGGCCCTCGAGTTCCTCACATAGTTGGTATGGTAGATCTTGGCTGCCTCCTGGGCAGGCAGCAACTTCACCATGGTGAGGGCGCAGGGCCCTGGGCTGGGGGCCTGTGGGCTGGAAGTCTGTGGCTTTGCAGATGGATGGAGGCCCAGAAGAGGGTCATTCACTCCTCAGCAGGTTTGGGGAGGAGGCTGAGGTCAGGGCACAAGATGAGGGTCCCTCCAAGGTAGACGAAAGAGGATTCATAGGACAAGAAAGACGACCTTGGCTTCTTCAGGGGAAGCTTGTCCAGGTGCCCGTGTCCGCTCTAGCCGGGCTGTTTCGCGTCTCCGGCCTCCTCTCCAGCCCGCCAGGGTCTCGGGCCTGCTGGCGCCGCCCTGCCCCTCCCCGCTTTCCAGCTCAGAGCTCCAGAGAGCTCCGCCCCCTTCGCCCGGCCCGGCCCGGCCCCTCCTCCCTCCCGCCTCCGAGAGCGCTGCTTCAGCACCGCGGCCAGCGCCCCGGGGCTCCGCAGGGAGGAGCGTGGGGAGCGGCCCACCCGGCCCCGGGAGGCGCGGGGAGCCGCGCGACCCATCCACCGCACACCCCGCCACAGGGACCGAGACCCCTCTTCACTGTCCTGAGCGGCGATGACACGAACTGGAAGGGAGGGGCTGCGGCTGTCACATTCCTCCCACTCAATTCCTGCCGCAACACCAAAACCGCTTCCTGAGCACGGCCCCCATCCCACCCCCGCCCCTCCCTGGCTCCCTAGTCGCCCTCCCGGAACCTCCAATCCCCGGAGGCCAGCAAAGCCTTTTCTGATTGTGTCTTCCGGTCACGGGTTTCTTGTTCCTATCATTCAATCAACAATTACTAAGTGCCTACTATGTGCTAGGCTCTATATTGAAGGATATCTTCCTTGAGCAAGAACCACAGAGATAACGAGGACAGGGTCCCTGCCCTCAAGAGAGTGGGATATTTACATACATGTAGACGTGTACATATATTTGTAATGCAGACAGTATGATAACAGAAGCAACTACAAAGTACAGCAAAGAATGTTCCTTATGAGCCATTACAGACCTTAACATACGCTTTTTGTTCAATATGATGTCTTTCTCCTCTTGTTTATATGTTTTCATTGCATTTTTTCCCCTCTTTTTCTTTTTTTTTTTTTAAAGATTTTATTTATTTATTTTTTTCCCCCCAAAGCCCCAGTAGATAGTTGTATGTCACAGCTGCACATCCTTCTAGTTGCTGTATGTGGGACACGGCCTCAGCATAGCCGGAGAAGTGGTGTGTCGGTGCGCGCCCGGGATCCGAACCTGGGCCGCCAGCAGCGGAGCGCGAGCACTTAACCGCTAAGCCACGGGGCCGGCCCTCCCCTCTTTTTCAAAGCATATATTTTTCCTGAATTTTTAGGTAAATACATGGTTAGTGTATAAATAGGAAAGTTACCTAAAAGAGTAAAAATCACTCATAACCCCAACATTGGGAGCTAAGAAGAGACAAGATCATCTTAAAAACATGGACTTCAGCTTTAGACAGATCTGGATTTGAGTCAGCCACTAATTAGCTAAGTGGCCATCCATGGATTTAAACTTCCTGAGCCTTAGTTTCTTCATCTATAAAATGGGGGTGATAATAGTATCTATCACATGAGGGTTAGGTAAAATAACATATGTAAAGTGTTTAGCCCAGGGTCTCACATATAAAAGTGCTCAAAAATGTTTATTATTATTATCACCTCTGTTAACATTTTGGTGTATTCCCCTCCTTCTGCACATACTGCTTTACACAGTTGGATAATAATGTATATACAATTTAGTATCCAATTTTTTTCACATAGCATTATGCCATTAATATTTTCTCATATTACTTTTCTTCAAAAACATGATTTTAATGCTTGTGTAATTAGATGCAGAGTATGTACATACCATAATTGTTTAATCATTTCTCCTTTTTAGGGTGTTTTGGCAGTTTCTAGTTTTTCACTATTAAAAAGAACCCTGCCTTGAACATATTTGCGCCATACCTATGTTTCCTCTTTCTCTTAAATCTCTCCAGTTTTGCAACCAGTCTTTGCCATCAGACTGGAATTTCACTGAGGGCACAGCCTGTGTCTCCACCATCAGACTGGAAGCTTCCCCAGAGCAGGACTGTACCTTCCCCCATTCAGAGAAGGCCCTAGGCTGGGGCCAAGCTCTTAGGGGCTGGTGGACACACCTTTGTTTGGCTTGCCCAGCACAATTCTCCCTGCCTCTGAGAGTCGCCTCTCCTGCTTCCTGAGGTTCTGGTGGGTCAGCCAATCATAGGGCATGCAGACTCTAGAAACATGGCTTGCTGCGTGACCCAAGCTAGGCCATCAGTCTCTCCCTGGGGAACCTGAATTGGTGGTGGATTGACATGAGGAAAAACAGTTGTTGCTTAGTCAGGCCGTGGAAGCATCCTCAAGAAACAACCCATGAGCTCCTGCTATTGGGAGCTTCAGAGCCACCCTGATTCCCGCTCCACCTAAGACAGGTGGCCCTGTTCCTTCTTCAGCTCCTTGATCCACCCAATATCCTTCCACTTGCTTTCACTAGCCAGAGTAGGTTTTGGCTGTTGCACCAAAGAGCCCTAATTGATCCAAGTATGGGCACCAGAAAGGGGGTTTCAGGTCCAGGCTTCAGGTAAAAGGCTCTGAGATTCCCATTTATGTTTGGAATTGGGAAAACAGCAGCTCGTGGTACATAGAGGAGAAACAGCTAATAAAATTATCAGCTGCGAACACCAGGGACCATGTGCCCTCTGAGGGTCAAGTTCTGGGGAACTGAGTGGCTTTGGCCATAAACAGATTTAAAGGGAACGAAGAAATCAGGAACACAGAGTGGGGTGGCTGCTTATAATGGCATTGAATAATGTCAAGAGGATAACCTCAAATGTCTAGATTGTTGACTTGAAGAATAAAATAAAATTCAAGACCTTTATGTGCTATGGCTCAAAGAATCTGTTAAGGCTTCTTGTTATAGGGCATAAGGCCATTAAAATAAGATTCAGGGAGTGGGAGAGTACTGAACTGCAAGGCCTTGAATGGTTAGACCAGATCACCTTAGGAACTGGTGGAGTCCTCACCTTGGCCCCCTGACCCTTCAGCTAAAGGCTAATATACTAGGAAGGGCTAAGCCAAAGCCCCTGGTGCTCCCTTTCACTCTCCAAATAATAAATCAAAAACAGTATTACATCCCAGGGGAGTTGTAGAAATTAGTCACTATCAACGACTCTGAAAGATGCAGGGGTGGTGACTCCCATCTCTACTGCATATTTGTCTCATTGTTTTTGATTTTGGCTGACTGGCACCCTAACCTCCTTCCTCTTAGGGGGTGATCCCCTGCTGTGTGAGTCCTGGGGGCAGGTAAGGCCTCTTCTCTCACCTGGAAGGCCAGGTACCCCCTCCTCTGCATGCTCTAAAGAGAGTTCCTATAGCATGCTGGCACCAACTGGCAGTGGACTGCTGTGGCATAACACTCCCACACAGGATGGCCCTGAGGGCAGCAGGGAAGGGAAATCTTCATGGAAGGTAGAACTTCAAGTGCTATAACTATCTACCCCCAAAAGATCCACATCCTAATCCCCAGAACCTGTGAATGTTACCTTATTTGGAAAAGGGTTCTTTGCAGACGTAATTAAGTTAAAGACTTTGAGATAACAAGATCCTACCAGATTATCCAGGTGGGTCCTAAATCCAATGACAAGTGTCCTTCTAAGTGACACACAGAGGAGAAGATGGACAAAGAAGAAAAGGCGATATGACCACAGAGGCAGAGACTGGAATGATGTGGCCACAGCCAAGGCAGCTGGCAACCACCAGAGGCTAGAAGAGGCATGGAACAGATTCTCCCCTAGAGCCTCTGTAAGGAGTGCGGCCCAGCTGACATCTTGATTTCGACTTCTGGCCTCCAGAATTGTAAGAGAACAAATTTCTGTTGTTTCAAGCCGAGTTTGTGGTAATTGTTATAGCAGCCTCAGGAAATACACCACCTCTCCTGTAAGGAGAGAGGGCCTGAGATACAGATGAACACCACTTTGTAGGTAGCAGCTAACGCACCAGCCAGATGATCATCATCTTGGACAGAGTAAGTTTGGAGGGTTAAGTAAGAGTTTGGGGAACGGGGTGGATGAATGGAGCCCTCAGAATAGGGGCAAAAGCAGAGAGTATTTTGGGTCCTATGAGAATGTTCTCCGGAGGCCTGCCACTGCAGAGGCTTTTAACATCAGCAGGACGATGCACTCTGTGAATGCCAGCCAGCCTCCCTCCTCAGCACCCCCACCCCACCCCACCCAGCACTGGCTCAAAGACCCAGAACTAGGTGTTCATAGTGGGACAGATGGAGACTGTGGATGGATCTTCCACCAAGGCCGACGCAGCCAGTCACTGGCTCCCAACAATATCAACAAACTTTGAGCCTCCTGATAAGACATCTATAACTCTCAAAAGTCAAGAATAAGAAAATTAAAGATTGGTTGGCAAAAGATTCGAACACTTCATCAAAGAAGATACATGGATAGCAATTAAGCACATTAAAAAATGCTCATCATCATTAGTCAGTAGGGACGTGCAAATTAAACCACAATGACATACTGCTACACATCTATTAAAAAGGGTAAATTAAAAAACAAAAAAACTGACAATGCCAAGTACTGGCAAGGATGTGGAGCAACTGGAACTTTTATATGATGCTGGTGAGAAGGCATATTGGTTCAGCCACTGTGGAAAAGAATTTGACATCTCTTAGAAATTGAAACAAACATTTGCATGAGACTCAGCCATCTCACTCCTCGCTATTTGTCCCAGAAAAATGAAACCTTGTGTTCACACAAAAACCTGTACACGATTATGTGTAGCAGCTTTATTCAAATTGCCCAAAACTTTTCATAAATAACCCACATGTCCTTGAACTGGGGAATGGATAAAACACATTGTGATTCCATCCATACAATGGAAGACGACTCAGCAACATAAAGTAACAGACTAACAAAACGTGCATGAATCTCAAATTCTAAGCAAAAGAAGCCAGACCAAAAAAAAAGTGCATACTGTGTGATTTCATCTATATTACATCATGGAAAAGGCAAAACTATAGGGAAATAAAACAGATTTGTGGTTGCCAGCATCTGGTGGTGGGGTTGATTAC